ATGAACACCCTGTATACTATTTTTTATACCTCAGCGGAATATTGCTTCCTATGTTATTGTATGTAAAGTGAATAAAAGACAAAATTACTGGAAAAAAGGTACGTCGAGTTTTGATTACCCAGTATGTTTAGTAACTAGAATTTTTGAAAATAAACGAAAATTTCGCTGTGGCATAAATTGTATACCTAGTGCCAGAAAGTGAGACGATATTATACAGCACTTAAGTGTGCAACATATGGGTTTTTTTTTAGCAATAGCACAATCAAAATACAAACAAGGCCAGAAGTTGGTGCATGTCTGATAATCATATTAGGTGCACTTAGAATGGTTGCAAGTCAAACAGCATACAGGGTAGCTCAAAAAATATCAAAATTGTAGTAATATTTACTCGAATAAAATAAAACTTTTGCACTTTAAGGAGAGTTTTTTTAATATTGCTATTATCATTAGTAATGTTTTAACTTGTTAAAAAAAAAATTTGCGACATTTTAAAGTTATGTTGGATATCATTGCAACATACATGAATTTTGTGATTCCATAAAAAATTAAAAATTTAAGTTAATTTTACAAATATGCTTGAATTTGAACAAAGTTATGTAAAATTAATTTGCTTTTAATTAATTTTTGAAAGTATTAAGGGCGAAATTAAAAAATAAAAAAAATATAGAAAATATAGATTTTTTTCGAAAGAAAATAAAAAAAATCTTAGGAGGCTATGTTTTGGTATTTAGGCATAACTTTTAATTCCAAACAACTTTTCTCTATAACATTTTGTTGAATTTTCAAAAATAAGGGTACTTTACACTACAGCTTTGATATTGTTTGAGCTACCCTGTATGCTGTTTGACTTGCAACCATTCTAAGTGCACCTAATATGATTATCAGACATGCACCAACTTTTGGCCTTGTTTGTATTTGGGTTGTGCTATTACTAAAAAAAATTCCCATATGTTGCAAACTTAAAAAATCACACTGTATATCAACAAAGTTTTATGTCTTAGGTCGGAAAAAAAAAATAATAGACGTGGTGTTGTCAAATCCCTATCTATTGTTCTAAAAAAAGATTCCAGTCAAGTTTCCAATTATTTCCGAAAGTCTTTATTCAAGCAATAAAATCTTGATGTGTTTCGATTGTCCATCCTGTAATCCTAGTGAAAAAAGTCAAGTTTAGTCAAATCCGGAGACTTGGGCGGCCATGAACAATGTCAGAATTGCTGAATTACTGTCAATCTTCCACAGCAGAATGCTTCTAATCAACGTCTATAGATGGGTCCTGTTAATCGATCAGGAAGCAAATATCGCCCAATTGAATAATCGTTAACCATTGGGGATTCAAGACAAGCGATAAGCGCCCTGGTGGCAATTTTATGAACTACATTATTGTACTATACATTGTCGATATATCAAAGTCATAATTGTTTCATTTTTTTGTAAGTAAAACTTTATATTTTAGATATGGTTTTTAAAAATTGAATATTAAACTGTATATCTTCCATGAACTGATTAGGTTTCCTCCACACGTTGAAGAACCTCCCCTTTAAATTCGCCTGTCATTGCGCCGCATTCCTGTTAGTTAACCTTAAATTACTTGGAACAAAAAAAAAATCCATGCATAGCAAAATCTTTCATGATTCTCAATGTATCCTGGATAATGTCTATCATTAGGATAGCGTTCCTGAGTTCCTGGTACGACCACGCAGCAGCTCTTGCATTGCTGCAACTTGGACTTTCCCGCTTTTTGTCGGTAAATTTGATATGAGTCTAAGGAACGTGAGCCTGTTCAGACTTTCAACGATAATTGCAACATCTACAGGTTAAACAGTATAAAGCTCGCGGGTAGCAGCCTTTGGCTTCAACCCATCTCCCTGCCGGTGATCGTACCCACTCTAGTGTCCATTGCCCCTTAGAAGCCGACACCAAGGGGAGAGGGTATCGCTAGCTTAGGGCGGTAGGGCTCCCTCTCCACTCAAGATCCACATGTTAGCAACGCCGCCCTTGCAGTGTTTGATGAGTCTACCGCCGGCGCCACTTTCGTGCGATGCCTGACACATATCAATTGTCTAGTACTTGACCGCATTTTACCAGATACCAGGAATCTGGGCCAGAGGTCCATGGCTTTTCCAGTCGCGCTCATGTGGTCTAAACGCGCCGTTTGTGAATCCTCACGTGGACAGGGTACGGCTCGGGATGGTCTAGGTCCCTTCTAGTCTATAAGCTTAGGGCATTACCTGTTGCCCAGGAGCCTGGGATGGGGCAAATGTTCCCTAAGCAATTCGCCTGAGCCGACTAGTTGAACACAGGTATTTTCTTTGGTCTCCACATATGTGGGTACTCGTTTGTAGCTTGACGAGTTACAGCTCGAATTCCATCCCTCGCATCGAGCAACAAGCCGATTCTGGACGAGCCATAACAAGCCCAAGTCACAAGCCAGGCTCGCGAAGCCACGCGCCGAGGGATGCCGGCTTAACGCTTATTCAGTTTTCAAAAGAGTACTAATATACACTTTTTCTTCGTCTGTTACTTGTGTATCTCGCTACGTGGCTGGCCCAGTTCCATTTGAGGGTACATATTCTATGTGTAATGTCTTTGACCTTAGTTGAGTTATCTACTCGTTGGTCTTCTGATCCCTTAGGGCGGGTATTATAAACATGTTTTAAAGTTAACTTTGATTGTAACACTCAAGTTAACTTTAGCTTTAGCATGTCAGTTTTATAAAAAAAAACCATTTCTAAAATGAAAAGAGAAAAATAAGAAGAAGAGGACGAAAAGAAAAAGATAACCTAGAATTTTTGGCTTAGTTTCCAATTTCGATGGCTTTTGTTATTTGTAGTGTTGTTCCGGGTGTCGTTTCTTTGCTAAATGCTAAATTATTAACAGAAGAACTGTCGAAAACCACGATTTCCTACAAAGTTAACTTTAACCGATACTTCATCCACCCGATAACGTTAACTCCGAGATTTTGAAGTTAACTATGACATATGACGTTATTCCAGGAGTTAACTTTTAGTTATTTATCAAAATAGTTTTCTAATACCCGCTCTCAGTGTAATACCTGTCATTCTCCTTCCGACTGCTCTCTGATGTACTTGCAGCTTATTTAGGATTTTTTTTGTGAGCGTCCATGTTTCGCTTCGATAGGCAACTACTGGCAGAATACATTCGTAGTAGGCTTTAGTTTTTAGCCTCAAAGGTAACTTGGACCGGAATACGTTGCGCATTTTACCATACGCCGTCCATCCCAGTCGTATTCTCCTATTAATTTCAAGCTCTTGATTGACTTTGCCAAGTGTTATTTCCTGTCCTAGATACTTGTAGTTTACTTTTTTCACCTGTTGGTTTTCTATTGATATTTCGTCCCTATCTGTTTGCTCATTTGTCATAAACTCTGTTTTTGATACGTCCATTTGTAAGCCGATCTTCTTGGCTTTTTGCAGTAATTCGTTCAGCATGATTTCTAAGTCAGTTTCGTTCGGGGCGAATATTACGATGTCATCAGCGAATCTTAAATTATTGAAGTTTTCTCCAGATATATTGATCCCTCTATTTTCCCAATGTAGTTCTTCGAACACATCTTCGAGGACTAGGGTGAACAGCTCAGGTAAAATTATATCGCCTTGTCTTACGCCTCTTTTGATGTTCACTTCGTTTGTATCTTCATGCATTCTTAATTTCATTTTTGTTGCTTCTTGAATATTGTTGATTATGTTTATACATCGCTGATCTATTCGTGCAATTCTCAAAGCTCTTTCTATCGCCCGGAATTCGACAGTGTCGAAGGCTTTCCTGAAATCGATGAACGTTAGCCATGTTGTAATGTTATATTCGGCCTTCTTTTCATATAGTCTTCCTTTTGAGTGAAGATGTTCTATAGTGCTGTAGCTCTTTCTACAGCCTGCTTGTTCTCTAGGTTGGTAATCGTCGAATTTCCATTCTAGGTGGTTAGTGATTATTCTCATTAACAGTTTGTATATCTGAGATAGGAGGCTTATGGGTCCATCGTTTTCAAGACTTGATGGGTCTAGTTTTTTGTATATCAGTATTCCCCTGCCTCCTTCATCATTACTGGTAGTAGGTATATCGTCCATTCCTGTGATTTTTCCGTTTTTTATTTGGCTCAGCGCTTTTGCAATTTCTCCCTCTTCTATATCAGGGATCTCTTCTGAGCCAACATTTCGAACTTTGGATGTTTCACTTTCGGTTTCTTGTTTGTTGCTTTTTGCGTCGTATAGTTCCGCCACACGCAATATTCGATCTCTGTCTTCTATAATGTTTCCTTGTTTGTCCATAAGCTTTGTATTTTCTCTTTTGTGTGCGTTCTCCCTTTGTTCAAGCCTTTTTGTTGTTCTATCAGTTTTTCGATTTGTGCTTCTTGGTAGTGGTTATAGATAAATAACTGACATTTTTAATCAATGGATACTTGTTTATTTTTCAAGTAGTATATTTACGGTTTTTCTTGTGGCAGGTAGTATTTTTTTTCAATCAAACAAAAATAATATGTAATATTATTATTTATTACATATTATTTATTACAAGAAAGTGTAATTTGTGGGTTTTCCAGTAAAGAAACCTCGAGAAACTCTTATTTGTTGCCTCAGTGCAGTCTGAATGAAAATCATCAGACATACAAATTTGTTATTTTAATGCACATACCAACTATATCATTGCATTTTCCCATTTGTATTTAACTGTTTGTCGTTAATAATCACCTTAAAGTTTTTTTGACAAAGATAATCAACTTATTTATGGACATAGCTTTATAATCCCATAAACATTCTGTTTTGATGGAAAGTGCAGTGTTCTAGACCTCGTGCAAAAAAAAAATGTGCACTGGGTGATGAGTGTGGAGAACTGATTTTGAAATAAAATTTTGAAACTAAAAGATAAAGTCAAAATAAATTTAAAATGCAGCTCACTTCAAGAAATGGAAATTGCTAATAATTGTAGCAGACCTCTTTTAGAATAACTGAGCATATTATAATAAAATGAAATTAAAATGTTACCTGTTGTTTCTTTTGGTTAACTTTATTCTTCCTCAGTCTATCTTCCATATTTTTATCATTGGCTGTTTGCGCTGCAAGTTCCAATCGTCTTCTTTGCTCATTTTCTTGGTCAGCTGTCTATAAGAGGTACAAAAATAAATTCAAGATAACTTAAAAATATAATTCTTGCCTTAAATGCTTTGACAAATCTCACTAAGAGTGAGAAGAAAGTATTGGCATCTGTTGTCCTCGAAGATTCAGCAAAATATTCAACGCATTCTCTAAATGCTTCTTGAGATACTTTAGAATCAGTTTTCAATCTGCGAAGCTTGTCTTCAGCATTTGCCAGGAAATCCCTTATCACAAGACTGCAATTGCCTCTTCCTCGGATTTCTGCTTCTTTTCGGACTGCTTCCATGCCTTTCTCCAACTCGTGCACGTCAGTGAAGATATTTTCCAAGGACACTATGATCCAAGTGTAATTAATTAGTACATATGAAATCTTTCAGAAGTAACAATCAAACTGATATGTAAGAAATAGCCAAAAGGGTGCCAAATTTTATATGAAGGTACTAGAAATGGTAAGGATATCCAGATTTTTTTCCAATATACATTAGGGTATCTCACATTGGGTATATGTGGTGAAACCGCAAAAAAAAAACAAAAAAACGTAAATTCGTTTGCTCTATTAATTAGAGGGTGGCGCGTCTGCGCCTCGGTTTGCGCTGCCTTCTTTTGTTACATTTCTCAAGTCACTTTTAATGAACTATATATCAAAATGAAAATAAGCTTTCTCTTTAAAAGCTAGAAATATCTGCGAGATACAGAAACTTTGATGCAATTATTTACATAGGCGAGTTTTGTGTGATTCTATTACGCACTACTTCTACTTTATGAGCATTACATTACACTTAGCTTGTTTAGGGACATGGTCATATGTACATTAATAATGGGAGTAGGTACACATTTTTGGAAAATTCATGAGTTGGATTTTTACGTCAGCTAAGTGAATACCGGTTATTCTGTCTGGCTACTGGGTATCTGGTCAGCCTACTATCTGAAACTTTTTGTTATTTCTTGCGATAAATGATCCAACAAGAAAAAAAAGATCATATTTAACAGAACAAGAGAAAGGTGATCACTTACCAACTGCTGCTTTTTCAATGTATTGCAATTCTGAATCGAAATTAAGTAGATCCGGGAACTTCTGCCTTATTGTGGCTACTATAAAATGTAACAGGCACAAACGCTTATCAGTGGATTTGGTATCAAGTAAGGAATCTAATGATTGCAATTTGAAACCGTACGCTGGCCCTCGTTTGGCACTAAAACACAAAAACTGGGCTACACAAAAATTATATATATAAAAAACTTACCTGTTTAAATAATTGCCAAAAGCAAGAACGATTTCCAGGACTGAACGCAGTTTTCTTGAAGATTTTACAGAATTTGAACCTGATATCACAGCATGAATTTGCTAGAAAATAAGATAAATATTACCTACCCCTTTTCGTAACTGTGGATTACTACTTTTTTTGCATTTTTTTCTTTTTACATCGTCTTAGAAAATGAATACGACAGATGGAATAGAATGATTATAAATTGGATACCATGGAATTATGTGCAGAAAAGAGGAAGACCGCAAATATGTTAATCAGATGATCTAAAGAAACACGGTGGGCCAGCATGGATGCAGATCGGCCATGATAGAGATAAATGGAGAAATGATGGGGACCAATCGCGAGAGGTGCCAATTCTGGGCTGATAAGATCGATCTTAATCAGCCTGCAAGTCTTTAAATGTGACTTTTTGCAGTATGGTCACTGAAAGGTTGAGATACAGAGTGACAAAAAAGTCGCGCATAATTCGTGTAACTTTTCAATACCTACCTCGTATACGAAACGAAAAGGTTAATGAAAGTTATTCAGTAAGTTATTCCACATCTCTCTACCTGCATAATTTTTTTCTAAAGAAAGGAGGCTTAATGCATGTGTCCAGATAAGGAAAGAAACAAAAGTGTATTTATTTCATGCAAATTTTCTTCATTGAAACTATGATACTATGCTGAATTTCAATAAAGAAAATTTGCATGAAATACACTTTGTTTCTTTCCTTAATTTTTTTCTGTAATTTCTGGTTCGATTGCCATCTATACCAACCTTGTTTTTTTTTTAATGGAACACCCTGCATGTTTGGATTCTACTGTGAAAACTCTGAATTTTTTGTAATTAGGATTCTCACCATTGTTGAATGACAGCTGAAGAAAGAAAAACTGAAACTTTTGAAATATTGCACTTTTCTCTCTATGATATTAGGAATTTATGGTTGCAGAGGGACATTTCACCTGTCATTATCTCGGCAACAGTTGAAAATAGGTAATATTTTAAACTCAAAGTTTTCCCAGTAGAATCCAAATAAACTACTCAACAATGGGTTCGTTCCAAGCATAAATTTCACCAATTTTTGAGACGCGACAACTTTTTTATAAATTAACGGAAAAATATGCCGTTTACACCACTTTTGAAAGCGATACCTTATTAATCATCCGCTTTACAGAAAAAAAAAAATAGAACTTTTTCTATTTTTTTTACAGGGTGATGTGCGATAAAAATTTTTGTTGCCACCCTATTTCTACAATTATTTTTAATTATTTTTTCTAGGCATACCCCAATGATTATTATGTTCATCCCTCGAACCGTTTTTGGATTTTTTCTTACATCTTTTTTTGTTTATAAAAAATTGCGTATTTAGTGTTATAATGCATTGTAGAAATGGGGTGGCAACAAAAATTTTGAATTTTTACCGCACTTCTTATATCACCCTGTATAAAATAAACACTAAAATTCTATATTTTTTTGTCTAAAGCAAATGATCAACAAGGAATCGCTTTCAAAAATGGTGAAAACGGCATATTTTTTTGTTAATTTATTAAAAAGTTGTCGCGTCTCAAAAATTGGTGAAATTTATGCTTGGAACGAACCTATTGTTGAGTAGTTTATAATCCAAATATGCAATCACATACAGGGTGTTCCATTTGAAAAAACAAAACTGGCCTGCATGACAAATACACCAGAATAAACAGAAAAAATTCATGCATGTAGAAATGTGGAGAATAAGTTACTGGACAAATTTCACTAAAAGGTAACTTTTTCGTATTATTCGAATTAAAAAGTTGCAGGTATTTTTGCATTGCGACTTTTTTGTCACTCTGTATATGCTTTCCAATATAGAGAAAAACTTTATGATCTTTGGCACAGAAGTATTTTATCTGTTCATATTGACAGGTTCCATGGGGATGCGTGTGAGGCATTTCTGGATAGAAGCTGGAACATTTCCATGAATAACATTCAGGTACACGACCACAATAGCAGATCAATTATTTTAATATACCATTACCAACAAAGAATGACACTTTATTCAAAAAATCCAAGATGAACTAGTTTAAAAATATTCGATTAGGTTTCAGATTACTTAAAAGCCGCCATTCAAGTCTGAAGTCTGGCCAATAGAGTTCTGTCCTGCATATTTGTATATCACTATTGCTCTAATGTTACACACACAGATTTAGAACCCAACTAGTTCAAGAGTATTGGATGACTTACTGGTTGTATAAGATGAAAATTATCAAAAAAGTTGCCAATATAGTTCATAATAGTCAATTTAGCTGAAATTCTATCAACTTTGGTGAGTTGTAGCAAAAATTTGTCTTCGTCAGTTAAAATATTGATATTTTTCTTTTCCTGTGCATATTCCTTGTATGCTTTCGTTTCTTGGTCTGTAGGAACCATCCTTTGAAGAAGTTCAACGTTTTCTAAGGAGAGCTGCTTGAGATCTAGTGAGTTAATGGCGTTAATGACTTTTTCGGCAGACATTTCTAGTTTCCTTCTTGAAATTGCTGAAAAAAACAAAAACACTCCAGGCTAGCAAAAACAAACAATACGTTACACTGAACCCAAAAAAAGTGTATCCGAGGGCAAAAACGGACAATTATCAACATAAAAAGCACAAACTCAACAAAAAATATTGGTAACTCGAAACTGAACAAAAACGTAAAAAACAAGACATTGAGAAAAAATAAATTAAGCGCACCTTGCATGGTTCTACCCTCAGATCACGTGTTTTAGGCATTAATTTCATCCGTAGACTGCTGAAATCACAAAATGTTTTTTTTTATGTGACTAGAAACAATACAAATAAAAAAACAACTTACCAATATTTCTAAGCCTAGTATGTTCCAAAAGTGTAATATGCTCAGGCTTCTTAAACCTGAAAACAAAAAATTCAAAAACCAGTTCAAAGTATTCATTATTTTTATTTCTTGCCTTTTACTAGAAAAGGTATGAATTCCATCTGTTTCACACCCGCCACCGGCCAGCATTCCTGCAGCTCCAATTTTGAATTTTTCCTCAAACTCCCCAAAGTCAATATAAGAGAACAATTTTTCGTCATCGAGTTCATTAAAAACGGTGCCTCTAACTTGATTGGGTTTTAGGGCGATCCAGTTTATTGTGGGCAATTTGTACTAAGAGAAAAAATATTGTTCAAAACTAATTACACAGTGCACTTTATATTGTAGAAACTACACCTACATAATAATATGTAAAAATTGAATTTCATAAACAGAAAATGTATGTTTGTATGAACAATCTTTTTAAGTTCGATAGTAACTATGTATTTTCTCGAGTATTTTCTTGATGTAGCTTTGTTTTGGTTTTAACCAGAACAAATTCTAGAAAAACAGTCGTGCAGTTTACCTAGTATTGGTTGCTTTTACTTTTACATTATGCAAATACTTATTATGCTCAACTGTTTTGAACGGTTCTAGAACTAGTTTGCATTACAAGCAAAACAAAATCATTATTTTATTGTACTTCCAAAGATGGAAAATAAGCCCCTCTAATTTATTAAGTAATCTGTTTACCTTAGTTTGCACTTTGCGTTTGATAGTCATAGCTCCTTGGGGAGCTTGCATAAACCCTGCAGGAGGCGGGGGTATAAAAGCAAAAGGAGCACTGACTAAAGAAGGTGGTTTGGGAGGGGGTGGGGGACATGGAGGCGGCGGAGGGGCTGCAGGCACCACAGGTCCAGAAGATGGCTGAACTGGCATGGGTGGTGGTATTGGAGCGGTAGAGATATTACCGGAAACTAAAAGAAATAAAAATGATTATATTTTGTCTTAATGCTGCTGTTTATTTTGAATAACATACTAAAAGTTTATCAACAAAAAACCCAAAATTCTTCGGACGTTGGTAGCATGTTCATGAGAGTTTGCAAGTATATTTACGCAGGCCGATTTCCTGATTCTTTGACGCTTGCTGAAGTTCATTAAACCAGCATTTGAAAGGAAAAAGTCTGGTTTATCAGATTATTGAAATAGAATAACAGAGAACTTGTCAGAGCAGAAGGCTCAGGGAAAGGTAAACGACGAAGTATGTTTAAAATCAGAGATCATTAGGAACATGGTATTATTCAAAATGTAAGGAGTCAAGATGATTTTTAGTTAGGGATAATTTTGGTAATATTTTCAGCCCGAGTTTCAGCCGTACAACGCAACATTCAATAGGCCCCTTGCATCAAATTTTTTTATTGCTGATTTCGATAGTCCATGAAAAAAAAGTCAACACGTGTTTTTTCTTTTTCTTCTTACTCAAAAATTGACGGAGATACAACGCTATGAAATATGCCTATGACGTCATCAGGTATAATACTTTATGACGTCGCACATGCTCAGTATATCTATACATACAAAACTTAATATTTGTATAACTTCCGAAATAATCATATTTGGGCGAAATGAAAAAAAAGTAACGATTTTTTTTCGATTTCCTACAGTTTGCAATAAACAATAATCAATTTAATTTTCCATGCAAGTACCCTATTGTACTAGAACCTTTAGGTCAATAAGTGATTCTAAAAAAATAAAGGATATAACAAAAAAAAAATTAGGGAACCTTACTTTCTGAGAACCACTGTAAAAACAAAACAAAAATTAAGGCGTAGCCAATTATTTTTCTCTGCGGTCAGGTTTATTCAGAGCACAGCCTTCAAATTTTCGAGACTACTTAATATTAAACAAGTCTGTTTGGACTTCACTGAGAATCTCATTTGTTACTAACATAATTTTATTGAAAGGAGATATCCTTTTTTGATCAACACTAAATAATTTTTGATTATTTGGGATTCTTAAATTAATCTTTGGTACAGTAAAGTTTATGCAATTAATTATGTTAAAATCTTTGTACTTTATGTTATATAAGATATAGTAAAGATATATCACAGCTTGTTGTCTTCTTTGTAAAAGAGATTTAGAATTGAAATTATCCAACATAGATTTATATGAAACTTTTAACGGATATGTGTTGTTTTTTAAAACATAGAGGTGACCCAAGAATCCTTTTTGAACCTTTTCAATGCAATCGATATTTGTGGCCTCCAATGGCATCCAAAACTTTGTAGTTATGAGAAATAGGATTGATTTTTCTAGTAAATGTTGGAACTGAATTTTTTTTTTATATTAAGGAACATTTTGTAACAAGAAAACCATTTAATTACTCTATCAATATCAAGCTGGAGTAAATCGCAATGTTTTCTCGTTTTATAACTCTATAAAGTTTGAAGTCTGCGAAAAGTAATCCTGTGGAGTTTGAAAGACACTGGCAATGAATTGATAAAACATAAAAAAAAGTAAAGGGCCTGAATTGCTCCCCTGTGGTACGCCTGCGGTGGCCATGAAGGGTTCTGATTCGCAGATACCAATTCTGACACACTGGCACTCTGTTCAAGAGATATGACTTGAAACAATGGTAAATTCCCTCTGTTACGCCTAATTCAACAAGTTTATAAAGCAACAGTTCATGATTTACCTCGTGATTTACTTTACCGAACGTTTTCTCACAGTCCGCATAAACAGCCTCTAATTGGTTTTCAGCTCGGTTTTCAGTTAAGATAGCTTTGGCTGCAGCTTCTGATATAATTGACAGAGTTGTAACTGTTGAATTAGGTTTCATAAATTCATGTTGAAAGTTTGAAATGTTGGGTTTTAAGAAACTATACGAATCATCAAATGAAATGGTGTCAAAAAGTTTTGCTCAAACATTAATTTAAGCTAATTGGCCTATAATTTTTAATTTCGTTTCTACTCCCACTCCTAAAAATTGGTGTTATTTGTGTAGTTTTCAGTGCTTTTTTTTATGGCAAGATTAAAAATAATGTTCAAAAGGTAAGGCAACAAAGTCTGCTACACCTTTATACAGGGTGACAATTTGAAAAGTAGCAATCAGGAATATCTCTTAGACAAAAATATTATCAGGAAGATCTCAAATACGTATTGGGGGATTGGAGGAGGAACCAAAATGAGGCACTTTTTGACACCCCGCCTCACCCCTTAGGGGCTAGCTACTCCAACTTATTTTTTTTAAATAGGAACCTACCTTATGTTGCACATCGTTGGATAGCTCGTTGTTATCCCTGTACAGTCCTATAGAAAAATCTTAACTGGTACGATTAGATTAGATATCGGTGTTTAAAAGTAAGCACATTGTGAAAACTAGTAATTTTGACTATCTCAAAAACAAAATCTGTCTAAAAGTCTCGAATACACATCGGCAAAACCAAATAATGTGTTTATCGTAATTCTATTTGCTTCTGCAGATCTCTAAGGACAAATAAATAACCTTTCAAAGGAGCTATCACACGGAGTAGGTTCTCATTTTAGAAAAATTATTAAGAGCGGGGCTAGCCCTCAAGACAAGAGGGGTTGGGGTTGGGCAATTCTTTGGTCAGAGAGATAGTCAAAATTAGTAGTTTTCAAAATATTGCTACTTTTAAACACAGATATCTCGAAAACTTATCGTCCGATTTAAGATTTTGCTATATGACTATGAAGGGATAGCAACGAGCTATCAAACGATGTGCAACACAAGGTAATAGACCGTCAGATAGTGACATATTTAAGTTCCCCATTTCCGCATATCAGCCTCGAAGAGGGTTGAAAAGTACATTGATTATGAGTAGGATGGAAGTATTTCTACGAGTGGCTCCTGGGGATAACGTATGGAAAATTCGATTTTCCATAACAGAAATGAAAGACGTCCTGGTGCCCATACTTTCTTGCAAGCTGTGTTCACCAAAGGATTGAACCTGGCTTCGTGAAAACAAAGAAGGGGATGTTGCAGGTGGATAAAGGTTTTGAATAAGGGCGTAATCTTTTAAGGAAGAAATCGAGATTTTGGGAGATTTTTCCACACAAGCCCATCGGAAGGATGAAAAACTAGAAAGTTGGTAGCAAGAAAACATATTGGCTTGAGTGTTGCGAATGGAAAATTACACTTTAGGGTAACATAAGTAAAATCGAATTTTCCATATGTTATCCCCAAGAGCCACTCGTGAAAATACCTTCATCCTACTCAAAATCGATGTACTTTTCAACCCTCTTCGAGGCTTGTATGCGAAAATGGGGCACCTAAATATGTCACTATCTGACGGTCTATAAATTTGTATTTGAAAAAAATAAGTTAGGGTAGCTACTAGGGATGTACCGGAATTCCGGCGGTACCACTAAATCCGGCCGATCCGGCCTATAGCCCGGAACTACTGTTCCGGCCAGATCGCAACCGCGATCCGGCCGGAATTTTCGAAAATTTTAAAATAGGTTAAATAATCTATATATATAAAAATGAATGCCACTTTTCGTTGTAATTTTATAACTCAAGAACGGACTCACCTAGCCAAACCAAATGTTTAGGCTTTGTTCGGACTATTTATTAGATGGTTTATGTGAAGTTTGCACAAAATCGGTCGAGCGGTTCTTCATTTACCACATTTTTTGTAATAAATTAATTATTCAATAAATGGAGCATCATTTTGCTGTCAAATTCAAACTTTTTTCAGCGTTGACAGTACCAGCATGTTGTTATGTCATTAATGTGGTCATTTAATTACTTATTTTATTTATTTATGAAAAAAATTTGCTAAGCCCGCATACGGCGCCATGTCTTATAACCAATACCAAGTTTACTTTGTATTTTGTATACCGCGCCATCACTGATACCTGGAACGAAGCTCGGCATTGCAGATACAGTAGAACAATGCTGCACAGAACTATTCCGATCAGATAGAGTGGTGCAGAAAGAGTAGGTCAGATAGAGTAGTGCAGATAGAGTAGAACAGATGGAGTACTGCAGCGCATGCAGTGCAGATAGAGTGAAATAGGGCTGCGCTAGAGATTTTTTTTGTTTTCTTTACATTCTTTGAACATTCCTGTGCCTGAGTTTATTTATTTGGTGGTACACTTTACAAGAATAATGCCCACAAGCTGCCTAAAAAAGGATGATGTAAAATTTTAATTTTAGGTGCCTTCTGATCCAGAGAGTAAACATTAATTTTCTTCAACCAAAGCCAAATTCACCATCGAAAAAAACTGAATTTAATTCAGCTAATAGATACGTTAACACAACATTTAATAGGTATATTTAATAATTCAGAGGCGGTACGAGGTTCGCCGGGTCAGCTAGTAAATTTATAAGCGGAAAGCATGAAGAATACTTAGAACTTTATTAAAATTAAAGTTGTAAACCATAACAATATTTTTTTTAAACATAAACATTAAATTCAGGTATGGATTTCAAAAAATTTCCATACTTTTGACATTTTTAACTTAGCTGGATACCTCGCTGGATACACAGGAACACAAAACAACTGCAACTACACTAGACTGAAAATCGTTTAAGTTTTACGTGCACAAGCGTTCGAGTCAGATGTCTGTGGTCCCTATTCTAGAGACAGGGTAGAAATGTTCTCATGAGAACGAAGGTTCTGTCTTCGTCACCCATAATCAAATTTCCATAACACTAACAAAGACAGAGCAATCGTTCTCATGAGAAAGCTATTCCCCGGTTTTGAAAATAGACATCCAGTTAGACTCGGGGATGCGCCAATCTACTTGAAGGAGCAGCCAAACTCAAACATAACCAAACTTTAGCCGCTTTCTTTTTTTCCATCGAGCTATCTTTTTTTCTATCGAGCTATTCTCCATTATGAGTAAGTCATCTTGATTTCCTATGTACTAGAAAGAGATAGACTGCTCATCTGTAGGTTCGCCAGTTAAAAAAGAATGCGCCCTTTCAAATTATTATTAAATTGGGGAAAAGGGAAGTCCGCTCCTTTGAAGGGTCCATGTTAAGTACATAATTTCAAAATGAAATTGCAGAAAACTGTCGATCCGGCCGGAATTCCGGCGGTCCGGTCCGGTTAGAAGCCGGAATTCCCGTTTCGGCGGGGTGGCTCAAAAAGTGCCTCATTTTGCTTCCCCCTCCAATCCCCCAATACGTATTCGAGATCTTCCTGGTAGTATTGTTTGTCTAAGAGATATTCCTGATCGCTACTTTTCAAACTGTCACTCTGTATATGTAGGCTGGTATGTTATCCGAGCCAGTTGACTTTTCAGGTTAAAGTTTTTTAATGGTGCTAATGACATTAGTTTCAGTGATTACAAAAAATTTAAAGGAGTTGCCACTGAAATCAGAGTCCTATTTCATATTTTTGTATAGGCATTTCCTACACAGATTGAAAATTTTGTAGAAAAGCATATTGTAGTGATATAATCAAAGGTGTAATATAGGTTTAAATCAAATTAATTAATAGATGAAACTTTTTATAAATACATTTCCATTACTAAGCTAATAGTCGGGGAGCTGGCGTCGAAAATATGCAAGAGTTTTCGCAAGGCTCATATTTTCAGAATGAGTAGCATTTTAGTACTACAAAGCTAGGCTACAGTCAGCAGTTCCAGTTCCGGGACACCTGGCGCTGAGATGCGTGCAAAGGTGTATTTTTAATCAACACCTCGCAACAGTTTTCGCAAAGCTGAAAATTAGCAAAGAGCATGCGAATATAATGTAGAACCATAATTTAACAGTCAGACAAAGAAATACGGGGACACGTAGAGTCAGCGCGACTTTGAAGTGGTCAAAAAAATGATGTCACCGAAAGTGTTTTCGCATGGCTGAAATTTGGCAAGGTAATAGTAAAAACAATATATTTATTGAAAAAAACAGTCAGACACTTCTATGTCGGGACCCCGCCAGTCAGCAGTCGATTAGAGTGATATAGGTGGTAGCGCGCGTCAATAGGCATATATGCATGTCGAATAATAATTTCACCAAAAGTGGTTTCGCATAGCTGAAATTTGGCAAGGTAATAGTAAAAACAATATATTTATTGAAAAAAACAGTCAGACACTTCTATGTCGGAACCCCGCCAGTCAGCAGTCGATTAGAGTGATATAGGTGGTAGCGCGCGTCAATAGGCATATATCCATGTCGAAAAATAATTTCACCAAAAGCGTTTTCGCATAGCTGAAATTTGGCAAGGTAATAGTAAAAACAATATATTTATTGAAAAAAACAGTCAGACACTTCTATGTCGAGACCCCGCCAGTCAGCAGTCGATTAGAGTGATATAGGTGGTAGCGCGCGTCAATAGGCATATATCCATGTCGAATAATAATTTCACCAAAAGCGTTTTCGCATAGCTGAAATTTGGCAAGGTAATAGTAAAAACAATATATTTATTGAAAAAAACAGTCAGACACTTCTATGTCGAGACCCCGCCAGTCAGCAGTCGATTAGAGTGATATAGGTGGTAGCGCGCGTCAATAGGCATATATCCATGTCGAATAATAATTTCACCAAAAGTGTTTTCGCATAGCTGAAATTTGGCAAGGTAATAGTAAAAACAATATATTTATTGAAAAAAACAGTCAGACACTCCTATGTCGGGACTCCCTCAGTCAGCAGTCGATTAAAATGAATAGAATAGAATAGAATTTTACTCTATATATAATATCCATTTCGATGAATAATTTTATTTTTATAATTTAAATTATTTGGAATCGGAAACGGTAAAATAAAATTGTACATGCAGTTAAAAAGTTTGCGGTTAGAAAAAAGCCCGATTCGTATAAATATTACTTGACCATTTAATCAGCAGTACTGTGATAGTATACCTATAGTAAGTTTCATTAAATACTTATAATCGTCGCCGATTTTATAAAATACAAAAAAAAAATTCTAATCACATCTGCCGCTTCCCTTCCCCTAATCTCGACCTAACAGTACCATAATGAAGTTTCCGAATTCGAATGCATATACGCCTTATTCAAGTATACGCGCTTACGCTTGCAACTTACAGGTTTACACTTACTCATTAAGAGAAAAAAAAATGTATTTTACCGTTTCCGATTCCAAATAATTTAAATTATAGAAATAAAATTATTCATCGAAATGGATATATATAGAGTAAAATTCTATTGACGCGCGCTACCACCTATATCACTTTAATCGACTGCTGACTGAGGGAGTCCCAACATAGAAGTGTCTGACTGTTTTCTTCAATAAATATATTGTTTTTACTATTACCTTGCCAAATTTCAGCTATGCGAAAACACTTTTGGTGAAATTATTATTCGACATGGATATATGCCTATTGACGCGCACTACCACCTATATCACTCTAATCGACTGCTGACTGGCGGGGTCCCGACATAGAAGTGTCTGACTGTTTTTTTCAATAAATATATTGTTTTTACTATTACCTTGCCAAATTTCAGCTATGCGAAAACACTTTTGGTGAAATTATTATTTGACATGGATATATGCCTATTGACGCGCGCTACCACCTATATCACTCTAATCGACTGCTGACTGGCGGGGTCCCGACATAGAAGTGTCTGACTGTTTTTTTCAATAAATATATTGTTTTACTATTACCTTGCCAAATTTCAGCTATGCGAAAACATTTTTGGTGAAATTATTATTCGACATGGATATATGCCTATTGACGCGCGCTACCACCTATATCACTCTAATCGACTGCTGACTGGCGGGGTCCCGACATAGAAGTGTCTGACTGTTTTTTTCAATAAATATATTGTTTTTACTATTACCTTGCCAAATTTCAGCTATGCGAAAACACTTTTGGTGAAATTATTATTCGACATGGTTATATGCCTATTGACGCGCGCTACCACCTATATCACTTTAATCGACTGCTGACTGGCGGGGTCCCGACATAGAAGTGTCTGACTGTTTTTTTCAATAAATATATTGTTTTTACTATTACCTTGCCAAATTTCAGCCATGCGAAAACACTTTCGGTGACGTCATTTTTTTGACCACTTCAAAGTCGCGCTGACTCTACGTGTCCCCGTATTTCTTTGTCTGACTGTTAAATTATGGTTCTACATTATATTCGCATGCTCTTTGCAAATTTTCAGCTTTGCGAAAACTGTTGCGAGGTGTTGATTAAAAATACACCTTTGCGCGCATCTCAGCGCCAGGTGTCCCGGAACTGGAACTGCTGACTGTAGCCTAGCTTTGTAGCACTAAAATACTACTCATTCTGAAAATATGAGCCTTGCGAAAACTCTTGCATATTTTCGACGCCAGCTCCTGGACTATAACTAATTGTCAGGTAGGTCGTCAGTAAACTCATTGTGTCAATTTACATATTTATTTATTTTAATAAAATAGAAAATTTCTTGAAAATTCTCATAAGGGGGCATAGGTGCAGTATTTTTGATAGTTTGTTCATTCGCCAATCTGTACAGAGGCCCCTTTTGACTACAAATTATTAATGTAGAACATCCTCAAACTATCTCAGGGAAAAAAAGCTAGAACTTTTCAAACTTGCAAACAATTTGGTGCAGTTGAAATAAACCCACACAAAATGAATATTATCCTTCACAAAATGATGAAAGTTCTTACCAATAGTTCCTTCTGGGGGTCCTTTACTTTCCAATTCAACAAGTTTATTTTCAAACATTGACTGTCTGTTTTTGGACTCTGTTTCATGATGTTGCACTACACGTCTTAAAGTTGTTACTTCTTCATCAGCCTTTTTTTTGCCTTCAATTAAATCTTCCTTTTCTTGCCTCAACTGAATCAAGTCAGTTTCCAGAATGGCAATTTTTTCTAGGGCGTTATGTTCGATTTCTTGAATTCTTTCATGCATCTAAAAAAATTAGTTTTTATAAAATTAACAAACAGAAAAACTTGCATAAATTTACCTGTGCTAATTCATCTTCTAGCTCTGAAACTTTTTCCAATGCTGCCGTTTTAGTTTCACTATCTTCCATCAAAGCTGCCACATCAAAAACATTATCCAAATAAGCAGAAATTTGGACTTTTAATTCTTCACTTTCAGTAAGACGTAACTTTTCTAAATAAGTATCCAAGCCCAAAGTAGTAAATTCATACTGAAGATGCACCCGAAAATTCATATCTTCCACAGAATGAACGATTATATTCACAAATTGCATACAAGCAACCATAAATTCAAGATGAAACATTTCATAGTTCAAAAAATAGTTCATCAATGTTTCAAATCGGTGAGTTTCAGTACAGACCTCTTTGAAGTTGTCAAATGCTGATATAATAATTTCATGTCCGCCCTTAACTAGGCAAATAGCGGCTAATAATTCTAAAACTAAAGCTTTGGTCCTCAGACTTTTGTGCATAAAACTTAGGGAAATACAATTAATTGCTTCTCTATGTTGAATCACCATATTAAAACCATACTAAAAAAAAAGGATTTTGGAATTTCAGTATTTAATTGAAAACATGTTCCTGATGGTTAGTAGTGTTAAAATCTTAGCTGTTGATACAAGAAGCAAGTGCGATGAAAGCACTTTCAATGAAGCAGCTCTGAAAAAAACATCTCTACAACATTATTGTTCTTCAAAATTTATTCACTCACACATTTTGACACTATCAAATTGTATCAGCAGGAAGAACAGGTAATTTGTGCTATAACAAAATATTGTAGCACTATTTGCATGTATTAATAGCACCAAAATTGTAACAAAACGATTCATATCAAAATGCTGCAGAATTGTAGTGACTATACTTATAACCCAGTTGCAATTTGTGTCAAGTAATAAGGTAAAATTATGTGAAAGATAATTTAATGGCAATGGAGTTGGTTTATTATAAACATTTCTGGATAGTCAACAGATTTAACGCAAACTTTTCAAATTTTATCAACTAAAAATTCTAGGCTTTCATCTTTTAGCATGAATAAATGCTAGACACTCACCTTATTGTTCATTATAGCTCTCATACACATAATGCAAACATGGATATCATCCTTAGAATCACCCATGTTCAATTTGGCAACATGTTTTGAGCGCCTTTTCAAATTAGGATTATCATTTGGTTCTAATGGTGTTTTGAAGTAACCATTCAATGATTTGTCCATACTTTTGTCACATGTAGATCCAACAATACTCTGCGTCTGATTAAGCCTTTCTTCAGAAGATGAACGAGATTCTGCTATTCTTTGTTCATGCCTCATCATTCCTAAGCGGAAGCTTAGATAGTCTATTAGAACGTCCAAGCCACTGTTGTCTTCGTTGAGGAATTCTCTAACCCATCTAAAAGTTATCAATAGTAATATAACGAGTGCAATGGAAATTATTGATAATTTTTGGGAAATTTGCCCGAATGCATTTTTAGTTGAAAAAGAGCACGAGTGCACGTAGTGCACTCGTGCCTTTTTCAGTTAAAAACGCATGAGTGTAAATTTGTCGAAAATTATAAATATATTTCCATTGCACAAGTTGTATTTAATGAGAGAATTGCATAAATCAAAAATTTAAATTTTATGTCAAAAAATGTCAAAACACCAGTTTTCGCACCAGTTAGTATGCAATTATCTGATAATTTGCACTAGTGCAAATTATCGCGTAATTACAATCTGATTGGTTCAAATCAACAATCAAAACATGTCAATTTATTGTTGGAATACCAGTTTTGACAGATGTATGAAATTCTCATGATAATAAGTTTCGTATTGAAATTTAATTAAATGTTCTTACTCAATATGGTTTGTTCTAAGAGAAATCTCTAAGTCTCTTAAAACTTGAGTGGATGTTGAGTCAACTACCATTTTTCGTTTCTAAAAAATATGTTTTGTTATGAATTGAGGTAATTTTTTTCCAATATTTCTTACTCTATGGCTTCTAGAAGCTTTTGGGTCCAGATAGGTTCTCAATTTACTCAGATAATAGGATGGGGGATCCTTGGCTTGAACCATCTCCTGCAAAACGAATTAAATTATTTGATGAATTTTTAAAGCCGACCTGAAAAAGCATGTGAAATATTATCAGTGTAGATTGGAAATACATATTTGGGTTAGTTAATAAAATCGTAACTCATGTAGATTAAATACAATTATGTAGGTATATCAAAAATAAACAATCATTCCCCATTAAAATTAATGTACGTACAAGACAAGATAGCCAATGTTGTAGCGACTTAGTGTTATTTCCTTGCATCATGTAAATAAAAAACTCAAGAAAAAAAATATTATAGTTTAAGTTGAGTATTTCTCTTGCTTTCTCTAGTGTTCCGTTTATTTCTTGTGTAGTTTGCGGGTGCAGTGTATTTATGCGACTGACTGAGTTATTACTGATAAAATTCTTTTAAGTTTTAATTTTTCACCGAGTTTTTCACTAATTAGTCAACATTCCAATTTATTTCGTAATGAATAATTCAAACAATTCTCGATTCATTCAAGTTACTATTGAGATTATTTTGCCCATTAAATGCTGAAATAATAGATGAGTCATCCAAGATTTCTGACAAATCCACTAAATAAAAATTACGACTTATTATTATTAGTTTTGCAGTTTGGAATTGGTTGTGTTATCAATACACTCACCCTCTGACTCACCTGATCACAGATAATATCCCATTTTTTCTCAAAATCATAACTTTTTAAAAGTTTGGCCTTGTCTGGTGGGAGATCCATGGACGCCTAGAAAAAAAAAACAATTTTAAGCTTTTTAAGTACCTATTTAGCAAAAATATCTAGGAAAACAGTTATCCTAACTAGAAAAATCAAGAAAGATCACAACATAGTAAAGGCTTGTTATTTATCTTTGCAAGGCTCTTTTCTTGTAGCCCGATCTTAGTTACATTATTTGTCCCTGAACCTGTTTTGGGAACTATCAACTATCCTTATTCCTTACCAAAACTTTAGTAAATCGCCGTTCTAGTTCCAGAGGCTCAGGCATAGTTTGCTTTGCCTTTGCCTTAATCGTGCTCTGCCTGATACTAGCCAGTCTTCCATGGAGCTTCGTAGTTGATGAGGTAGATTCAGGCAGATCTTCCTCAGTTGCCTCCTCAGTTGCCTCTTTAGCAAAATAAACTCCCATAGTGAAATATTAAATGAAAATTTGTAACGAATATATCAATATAAGGCACAGCATCACAATCGACTCTTGGATATTTCGAAATTGCACTTGCACTGGTATGTTTCTAATTTTCGTTTTTGATCACAGCAACAGGTGCAGGAAACAATTGCTAAAATTTTAAATATAGCAAAAATATTGTCGTTTTCTCCTGTAAAATGGTTTGATGATAAACAAAATTTACATTAAAACGGTTTATAGAGTAGAAAATTGCGGAATTGTTAAAAAAAAAAAAAAATAATAAAAATATTATTAATATTCCTTAAAAAAAAAACACAAAAGTGATTTTTGTTGAGGGAGGCACAACCGGATTTAAAACCGATATGACAAATGACAACTAGCTTGATTACCCCACCCGTCCAATGACGTCATCCACTTTTTCCTTGGCAAAATTTGGTTAACTTCAAGGCTGAGCTTGGCTTTACACTCGGTGAACTCCGACCGTGGTCGAAACGATAAGTTCCTGTTCGTTTTAGCTCTCAGAGTGTTCCCTTTTGCGTTCGGGATACAATCGTGCACGTATTCTGAGTTCGCTCTCTTTTCCAATGGATGAATGGATCGAGAACCGAGGGCATATCCAAAGGCAGAGAAATTAGGCGGCGTTCCGTTAGTTAACCGAGATTCTCGGTTTTTTTGATTCCTGTTCCGTAACCTAACCACTCCTGAAATCCGGTTAGGTTATGAAACGCGGTTCCTGAAAAATTCGGTGTCAACTGTCAACCGAATCTACCTTCCCTAATCTAAAGTGTTCTTGATCGAGGCGCTCGGGATATCTATCCCGAGCGCCTCGTCTTGATCCTCGAGTATCCTAGAATTTGATTGGAGGGGGGGTAGGGGAGTATGACACAATTGACACATCACATAATCCAGCAAAAGATTATGCTCGATTATCCTCGCGAAAAATTGCCTATAATTAACACTCGTATGCACCGTATAGACTTGGGAGGTAAAACTCGCTTTGAAAATTTCCATGTTAAAAAAAAATCCTAATCTGGTTAAGGCTGGATTAAGGGCGGGTATTATAAAACTACTTTGAGAGTTAACTTAAAGTTAACTTCTGGAATTACATGTAATTCAAAAAGTTAACTTCAAGTTAACTCTCAGAGTAGTTTTATAATACCCGCCCCAAGTCCTTACGGTGCAGCAACTCACGATTTGATAGTATCGTCTATCGTCAGGGTACTTCTGCACGAGTTTATTTGGCTTGACACGGTGCACTCCCTGTGACCGCGTTTGGGTTCAAGGATAATACACTTACACAATAGTAAGGATTGCTTATCGGCCAGGTTTTTGGTTTCGTTTCTGGTAATCGCCGCCATATTGTTATACCACCATTAGTTGTATTCCTTTCACACCAGTGGTATTTCTTTCACACCTAGGAGCAGCTCCGGAACAGCTCCGGGGCGTTACGCGCTTATATACATGTCGTTTTAGAACGTCTTTCTTCGTTGTCCGACACCTAATTTCCATCCTCTTCTATCGTCGCAATCCTCTGATGAGAGATTTCTTTCACTCATGGTCTTTTGTATGGTCTTCTGCCATTCCAGTTTTGGTCTTCCTCGTTTTCTTCTACCTGTTGGTTGCCAATGCAGCATTTTTCTGGGCCACCTGACCCACCTGTCATTTGGCATTCGTTCTGCATGTCCGTACCAGGTAAGTTGTTTCTTTTCAATGTCCTGGGCTATCGTACCTTCTATACCCATTTGTTGTTTTATATTGTCGTTCCTTATTCTGTCTCTTCGTGAGATTCGCATGGATCTTCCAATAGCATCCATTTCAACTGCTTCCACTTTTTTCTTTTGTCTGGCTGTAATTCTCCAAGTCTCGGCTCCATATAGAAGGCTGCTCTTTATCATTATTGTCTCGTATATATTAAATTTTCTCTTCTTTGTAATTTTCTTGCTCCATAATATTCCATTTAGGCATCCTATTACTTTTTTAGCTTTAACTATTCGCTTTTTTATTTCTTTCACGTCTGTTCCGGTGTTGTTGAATCTGATACCTAGATATTCATATTCTTGACAATCATTGCGCGCTTATTCCTTTCGAAAAGTGTTTGTTGCACCCAATGAACTATAACCAAAAACTGGAATGCGAACACATATTGACGAACGTGAAGCCTAGTGCCGCTGCTGTGCACTCATTATGTTAAATGGCGGAAATTGCTTCCAACACGTATTCCAATTGATGAAACCTGTGAAGGTAAATATGACAAAACTTTCCAAAACGTCATATGTCAGCGAGCAACAGAAAAAAAACAACATTCCCCTTTGTGGCATCTGTCTTTCATGGCTACATTTTTTTGGCAGATATGGCAATGTGTGCGCATTCCAGTTTTTGACTATAGTTCCTTGGTTGCACCCGAGTGCTCAAGCCCGACTCAAACCATCCTGAAAGCCAGCGCATCTGTTCCTTTCTAATCGGGGTCGACTAACACCGGAGCGAGTAGCTCAGTGATCTAAACTCTTGAAAGGAATACAACTAATGCCGACGTCATTATTTGTTTTCCTTTCCTATCTAGGAGGAGCTCCGGAACAGCTCCAGGGCGTTACGCGCTTATTCCTTTCGAAAAGTGTTTGTTGCACCTGAGTGTTCAAGCCCAAACTCAAACCTTTTTAAAGGCCGTTTTACAGCTTGCAATTCTATTTGCAATATGCAAGAAACTTGAACGAGGGTATGCGCAGAAGTGAGTCAGCTGATTGTTTTCTGCAAGATTCTTGAAACTTGAATGACATTGCATGCAATCGGCTTGGTGCCATTTTTCTCGAAGGTTTTCGCGCAAGTTGGGGAATTTCCAGCAATTATGCTGCTATTGCTTTCTTCTTTTTATATCGACTTATAATCACTTTTTTCACTTTTGGAAAATACAAACATCAATAACACAACATTAAAAACAAAAAAGTATGGTTAAGGTTAGAAAGAAAACAAGTCAAATTGCAAGGTGTAGAACGACGTGCAAGAATCTTGAATGCAATTTTTTTTCATGCAAAAAATTGCATTCAAGTTTTCTTGCAAGCTGTAAAACGGCCTTAAATGCATAGCATATCTGTTCCTTACAATCGGGGTCGACTATTACCGGAGCGAGTAGCTCTATAAGTCTCTAGTGTTCTAAACTCTTGAAAGGAATATAACTGTCGTCAGCTGTTTGCGTCAGCCGTCGTAGTTTAGAATTTAAATTTATGATTTAAAACATTATTTAATTTCGATTAACATAATAGGCAAAAAGGGAGATGAAAACAAGATCTACAAAAGAGTGCTTTCAGAATGTTGATTAATGTAGTAAAACCAAGCATGCATAAAGCAAAAGCCCGCGGAATCAAGCAGGACGCGCACTGAATCGACTCGGACCGGTCGACTCGGCGAAGAGCATTCGGTAGTTTTTGATACTCATGCGAGTCGACCGGTCCGAGTCGATTCAGTGCGCGTCCTGCTTCATGTGGTGCACCCTACGTCAAGGCGAGGAACGACATGCTGCTACGTCAGCAATGGTGCTTTGGCATGGTGGGGGCTTGAGATTTGAACTACACAGGCTTATGAGGATAGGCTATCGTGTGGTGTGCTTTATCCTTGGTTGGGGTTGACGCTCGGCGGAGCGAGCAGAGCGATCACAGAGTATCGTGACATCAGTAAGCCAAATAAACTGGTGCAAAAGTACATGACGATAGACGATAACTATCAAATTGTGGGTCCGAAATCCGCGCCTGGTAACAATAGTTGTATTCCTATCACAACTAGGAAGAGCTCCGGAACAGCTCCGGGGCGTTACGCGCTTATTCTTTTCGAAAAGTGTTTGTTGCACCCCGCATCCCTCTCTTTAAAATCGGGGTCGACTTACACAGGAGCGAGTAGCTCGAGTGTTCCAAACTATTGAAAGGAATACAACTAAGGACGGGTATTATAAAACTGCTATGAGAGTTAACTTAAAGTTAACTTCTGGAATTGCATGTCATTCAAAAAGTTAACTTTAAGTTAACTGTCAAAGCAGTTTTATAATACCCGCCCTAATGCGGTTACAATTTTCAAACTGTGTACCGAAAAATTATTTGGATCACTTGTAGCGAATTCCATTGGCAGAACTGAGTCGACTATCAGGGACCCCGACTGAAATGAAATATCGGTTCCGTTCCGGTTCCGGTCCACAGCGTCATGACAAATATCGGTTCCGGTTCTAAGAGAAATATTTTTATTTGGTTCGGACCAATAATCAGGGCCCCCGCTACCATAAGCGCAAACGCGTGCGGCGCACGCGGGCAGCATAGCCAAGAGGCGGCAAATCGCACGAGAGAAAAATATACAGTGAGGACATAAAGTCCGTCGCCCCCCCTCTAACTTTTGAACCGCTCGGTATATTGCAACGAAATTTGAACTGATGATATGTGAGCAAATTCTCCATTTTTTGAAATGCATATGACAGCTCCAGCTGTCAAAATGACGGCGGTGTCGAGTGATACATCATTTTAAAGGTCTCTTTATTCTTAATTTAATCCCCGAATCTGAAAACATTAAGTTTAGCGGTTTTCAAATGATCACGAAAAAACAAAGGCTTGTTTTGCTCATAAACGCTCATAAAAAAAAATCAAAAATTTTTTTTATCCGTTTTTCACTCATTATTGTTTTTTTTCAGTAATATTAATGACGTAATGACATTGGTAACTTAAAAAAACAACAAAAGTAATCATAAAATATTGATTCAATTACTAAAAAAAAAATTTTATGACCAAAACAAGCCTTTTTTGTTTCGCCATCATTTGAAAACCACTAAACCAAATGTTTTTAGAATCGGGAATTGAATTAGGAATAAAGAGATCTTTGAAACAATCTATCACTCGACACTGCCTTCTATTTGAAAAAATGTGGTAAATCTGCGCTCAGCTGTCATTTTGACAGCTGAAGCTGTCATTTGTTTTTCAGAAGATGGAGAATTTGGCCACATATCATCATTTCAAATTTCGTTGCAATATACCGAGCGGTTCAAAAGTTAGAGGGGGGGCGACGGACTTTATGTCCTCACTGTATACAAAAAAAATTATAATTTAATTTATTAAATATTTATTAATTAATTTTTCTTCCTGAAGTGTTTCAATTATTTTCCTTTTCATTCAGAGGTCAGGCGCTTATCTGGGAACTGGGAACAAGTGCCGTGTCGTGTCCTACTCAGTTCCATGTAAAATCTCATGTGAGTCAGACAAAGACTGAAAATTAATAAAACCATGCCCCGCGCCCTCGTGTATATCGAGCGAGAATTAGGCTTCAGGGTCCTTATTCTTGAAACAGGAGAGCAAAGTTCCCGAGAACGAGTGTTAAAGTCTATCGATAGTCAAATGAGACAGTAAAAAAAATAATATTCCTTTGGCTGTCGGCGTTTTCCTTATGAAGCACGGGCGTGTAAGAGAAATTTATCAAGACAGTTTTATATAAAATTAAAAATGAGGCACGATACAACTCAAATAGGAATCAAATTTATAAAAACTATCTACTGCACTGTCTTTCCAGACGAAACTGATTCGCAAAAGGCGGCCGCTAAGAAATATGCCGCCAAAGACGCCGCCACTTCAAAGAAATATACCGCCAAATACGCCGTTAAAATTTCTAACCAATAAGATATTCCTGGAGTCAACATTGACTGTATAAAACAACCAATAAGATGCATTTTCGCACGTGGAATCGCATCCAATGTATACGGGCACGCTCAATATATTTTTCCTAATAATAGCATAATAATTTTAACGGGCAATACGATAATTTGAGGAGACCCCAATTTTTGCCTTGTCTCATTTGAGAAACGATAGACTATATTTATATTATCGCATTTACATATCATTGAGAAAGACGGAACCCTCGTTTTCCTGGGAACGTTGCTCCCCTGTTTCAAGAATAAGGCTCTGTACAGCCAATTTTTCTGTTGAATGTTCCTTTTGGTTCTTGCAAAATTACTATGAAATCGCACGCGGGCGGCTTCAGGTCTGGCGGGGGCCCTGCCAATAATTTCGGTTTTACGATTCATACCGGTATAGTTTTTCACAAATATCTAACAGAAAAAGGTAATTGAAGAAGAGTTAAAGGAAAATTGAAGGATTGAAATATTTTGGGCCCTGGGCGGAATTCGAACCCGCGCCTCCGCATTGCCGGTGCGTTGCTCTACCAACTTTTAGAAAAATTTATATTCCTGTAACTTGTGGTTTATTTTTTATTGGATTTCTCTGCTTATCTGCAATAACCTAAATAATAAATTATTATTATTAGTAATAATAAGTGTTTGTGTTCTCGATCAGTACAGTTAGTATTTTTTAACTTTGCCCGTGCTTTATCAATGACACCATCCATGTATATCCTTATGAGGTTTACGGTTTAATGTGCGCAGATTTATGCATACTTGGTTTTAGTACACCTTATCGAACATTCTAAAACAGCCCTTGTTTAGATCTCCTTTGCATTTTCTTGCAAAGTTTGCCTATTATGTTTATCAAAATTATATAATATTTTTCATCATAAATGTATATGCTTAACTACGACCGCTGGCGCAAACCGCTAACGACACCGTTGATAACGTCGCCAACGGTGCAACATCATATGAACTTGATTCCAAAAATCTAGGCTTATGAGCAATCCTGTAGTAGTGTGTAATATCCGTGGTGTAGCTTAGCCAAATTCAGAAATTCGCGCTTTCCAACGCTCTGTTTTTTAGAGTGTTAAATTTATTACGATACAACCAAACAGCAAACAGCCTAATTTATGAAATCTTGAAACCGAAAACTGCCAGTAAGAAACGATTAATTTATATCGGTTCCGGTTCTGCCTGCCTTACAACATTTCTGTGAAACATGGGTTCCGTTCCGGTTTTCGGTTCAATATTGTTCCGGTCCGGGTCCTTGTTGACTACCATTTTTTTGCTTGGTCTTGGCTTCCATTAAAAAATTAGTGCGGCACTTTCTGCCCCGAGTGCGGCACCTGCTTGGGGTCGGGAGTCACCGGTTACCAGGTGCGATTTGGAAATTTGTTGTTTTGTTATTTTTGGCCATTGGTATGACCAGAGATATAGGAGTGTTGTTGGTTGTTCTCTTTCTTGATTTTATTCATCACTCTTTCATTTTCTTATTCCTACCCTAGGACCTAGGGCAAATTTTTATGAACACACTACTGCCAAAACGTCATTAGGGCGGGTATTATAAAACTACTTTGAGAGTTAACTTAAAGTTAACTTCTGGAATTACGTGTAATTCAAAAAGTTAACTTCAAGTTAACTGTCAAAGCAGTTTAAGGGCGGGTATTATAAAACTGCTTTGACAGTTAACTTGAAGTTAACTTTTTGAATTCACCATATTAGGGCGGGTATTATAAAACTACTTTGAGAGTTAACTTAAAGTTAACTTCTGAAATTACATGTAATTCAAAAAGTTAACTTCTAGTTAACTGTCAAAGCAGTTTTATAATACCCGCCCTTAGTTAGGTTAGGAAAAATCGGGCGCGAAATTTAAAATGGGTTCCTAAACACATTTCAACAAATTTGACAGCAATGTATTTCTTATGGGGGATTCAAAAGAGTGATTTTCAGACGGCAATATCTTGGGTTCTGGACATTTCTTAGTATTTGAACATTTCTTAGTATTTGAACCTATTATACGTCAAACTTTGAACATATTTCTCTATAATTCATGCTCTAATTGTTTTTTTAGACCTATGAATTAAAAATACAAATGATTTTAAATGAAAGTGTCTGTTTTCGGTGGACGTACGTCGGGTCTAAAACCAGCTGTAAGCTGTAAGAAAGTGAGGTTGTGTGTTGTGTTATGATTGTTGGTGAATTGTTTATTTATTTATTTATCACTAGTTCAGTCATTTATTTTTCCATTTTTTTGGATTATTGAAGTACATCTACTAACCAAGTATGTAGGTACACTTTTATTTTATTATAATTATAGGTACCCATATATATACTTATGGATCAAGCAACGACATACGAATTTTATACAAACATCGGCTTCTTAAATTGGTAATATTTTTATTTTAATAATGTTCAGGGCAGGTATTATAAAACTGCTTTGAAAGTTAACTTGAAGTTAACTTTTTGAATTACATGTAATTCCAGAAGTTAACTTTAAGTTAACTCTCAAAGTAGTTTTATAATACCCACCCTTATTCAACTTTCAAACACTCTCTCAGTTAATTAACATATTGAAAAATTTATTTATACAACTCACTTCCCTAACAAACGTTCTATCACGTCTACAGACGCTTTTAAAATTGAGTCCCCATAAGACATCAATGTAATAATTTTTGAATTAGGAACCCGCGCCAATTTGCGATTCTAACCTAACTAATATGGTGAATTACATGTAATTCCAGAGGGGCGCGTTCAGATTGAAGAGTCCGGACGACGTCCAGTGAAGAGCGCACCCGATAGAGAGCGCACTCCGAGTGTTCCCGGCGATTCGCCCAATCTGAACGGCCAAGACGCATTCTCTCTTTATAACCTCACTGATTCTAACATTTTTGCCATTTTCTTCAAAATTTTTTAAATAAATACTAACTATGGAAGAAGCCATAGTATCTTCCTTCATATTTAAAGAGTTATTTAATGATGAGGACGCTTCATCTTCGGACCACGAGGATGTGCTAGTGTCAGTGATTGCTATCAATTTAGCATCACAAACTAAACAAAAAAAAAGAGGCCACTTTTTTTTTAAATAGAGTTGATGAGGATAACGAAGAATTTGGATAAACCCACCATAACTCGCAAAAATAATTATTTACAATATTTGCCTTTATTATTTAAGGTTAGAACACAAACGCGCATGCGGGGCAAATTTTATCTTGCTATTTTATGGGACGCAAAAGTGTGCGTCCGGGCGTCGTCCGGTAAAAATCTACTGACAATCTGAACGGCTGGGTAAATTTTACCCAAAGCAATCTGAACGGTCAGAACGCGCTCGGGCGACACCCGACGTTCAATCTGAACGCAGCCCAGAAGTTAACTTTAAGTTAACCCTCAAAGTAGTTTTATAATACCCGCCCTTAGTTGTATTCCTTTCACACCTAGGAGGAGCTCCGGAACAGCTCCGGGGCTTCACGTGCTTATTCCTTTCGAAAAGTGTTTGTTGCACTACATCTGTTCCCTGCAAATCGTAAGCTACTAAACACCGGAGCGAGTAGCTCGAGTGTTTCAAACCCTTGAAAGGAATACAACTATTGGTGTCAAAACTGTCAAAGTAATTTATTAAAAAAAGAAGTAGCTTGACTTGAGCCACTTGAGGATTTCATAATTTCATTATTTTTGTTTATATTTTTAAAAAACAAGAACAAATTTAAATATTTTTATTAGTTTAGGAGAGTTGGAAAGGGTAAATGTTGCTTCTGTTCAGTGCCCCTCTGTGAATTTTAGATTTTACTAGTGATTATGTAAGCATATTAGCTCTTAGAACATAAATATTATTGTGAAGCCTGAGTATTGTGAACCTATGCATTGTTTTTATGTATGTTTTATTTTGGATCTCTGCATATTTTGACATTAATATGCTATAATTGCTATATTTGTTTTTTGTTCCGTGTTAGAAACAAGACACCACAATTATTATACAACAGAGCCTAAAAGAACAAAATTCTATATTCATTTGTATGCATTTTTATACTCGTAATGTGACGCTTCCAGATACATTCACTTGTCGCATCTAATTTTGAGTTTTTGTTTATACTTTTTAGCTCCCAGCAATGTTGTGACGAAAGGAAATAGGAAGCCGTTGTGATCTTCATTCATAAGCTGTAAAAGATACACTTGGAAATAAGAAAACAGCTACCTACTACTACAATCATGTAAGTTTTATTTGTCCTTCTGATTAAAATCTAATTATTATATCAACGATAATATCATATTGGTTTTAATTGTATTTGAGATTATATTACATATAAACATAAATCAAGAACTTATTCTTTTATTAGCAAGATTTATTACTAACACAACTACTCAGCATTTTGTTTTAATTAGACTTAAATATTTCTCATTTTTTCAAGTTGGTGATATTTAATCCTTTTCTACAATAATAAACTAGTAGATACTCTAATCTTATTTATCATAATTAATCTAGAATTACAGGTTTCCACGCTTAGCTTGTTCCATTTCAATGGCTTCAAATAATGCTTTGAAGTTACCAGCACCAAAACCCTGTTGAAAAAATGTTCTTCGAGTTATTTCATGATAGAATATCCAAGAGAATATTTTTCTTTGTTTATCTCAACTAGGTTTGTTTGATTTGTGTTGAGTTTGGGGATTAGGTCTGTCTAAGCTAGTCTTTGTATGATGATATTTTTAGTCTACTTACATTATGGTTTCTTCTTTGTATTATTTCAATAAACAATGTAGGTCGGTCCTGCAAATTTTTTGTAAAAATCTGTAGCAAATAACCATTTTCATCATAATCAATAAGAATTTTTAATTCCTGTAATATCTTCATTTCTTCAGCAATTTTAACTGTACTTTTTTTAAGTTGCTCTTTAAGCATCTCATAGTAGGAGCCAGGGACTTCAAGAAACTCTACTCCACGCAATTTTAAATTTTTTACCTGAAAATCGAACCAGTTTTTTAAAAACCATTTAATATTTTATATTTGCGAGTATATTTGTCTTACAGCTGATATAATATCTTGGGTATTAAGGGCAATATGTTGAACTCCTGCACCCCTATAATAGTCAACATACTCTTGAATTTGACTTTTCTTTTTACCAGGAGCAGGTTCATTAATAGGGACCTTTATATTTTCTTCCCAATTGGCCATCACAATACTCCTCAAAGCTGAGTATTCTGTATGCAACTGACTGTCATCTACGGACCAAAATCTATGGAACTGTAGAACAGTTTCATACCATTTTGCTACTGATTCCATTTCTCCATCTGGTTGGTTGCCTACTACATGGTCCACAAAATCTAACTTAACAGGGTGGCTATATCAAAATTAGTTTGCATAAAAAATTTGAATAACTTTTTTGTGTCAGTACTTACAGCTGCTGGCTTAAAATGTCATCAGACACTACAGCAAATCCTGGCAAAAATGTTCCTCTATAAAGGGATCTGTCTACAAAAGTATGGACAGTGTCCCCATACTGAAAAAAGTTATAACCATTAACCAATACATGAAACAAATAGAAATATTGATATTGATTTTATAATACTTACTGTTTGAATAGTAGCAAATCTCACTTGTCCATTATGGTCAGATTCTTCCCAAATATCTCTTACAAGGTTAGCGCCCTTTGCTTTGGCATTCTTAATTTATATCCAAATTTTATTATCTCAATCTTGAACGTAACTCATAGTCATAACTCACCTGAACAATTGCTTCTAAATTTTCAACAGAAAATGCAATACATTTAACGCCATCGCCATGATTCACTAAATGTTCATTAAATTCTTTTACATCTCCCTGATAAGCTGAGGTAAACATAAAAATTATCTGAAACAAGAGTTTTGCAATTTTTAAATATTAATATGAAACATAAACATTACCTTATTTTGCTGTACCACATGAGAGGCATATTTTCTTTCTCCAGTTTCAAGACCCTTATAGGCTAGAGGCTTAAAACCCAACCTTGTGACATAATAGCTGGCGGCCTACAAATGAATACTTTAGTTTTTAAAGTACATTAAAAATACACACATCACACATCAAAATATTCTAGGGGACAAGATTTTTTCACTAATTCAACATTTTTTAAAAACAGTTTTTGTTAGAATTCCCTAGATGCAACTGTTTTTATTAAAACAGCATAGTCGCAAACGCGAAATACCTATTTTTTCAGCATCGAGAAGCGCACTCTTGAAGCGCGCTTCTCGATGCTGATAATCACGTTTGCGACTATGCTGTTTTAATATAAACAGTTGTATCTAGGAAATTTTAACCAATAACTTTTTTCAAGGATATGTTTTTGTTTGACCAATAAATTTTTTTTGATTTTTCTTATTTTATGGAATTTTTTTTTCAAAAAATGAGAAAATCGAAAAAATTTTACTGGTCAAGCAAGCACAAAAGTACATTCTTAAAAACAGTTTTTGTTAGAATTCCCTAGATGTAACTGGTTTTGTTAAAACAGCATAGTCGCGAAATATCTATTTTTTCAGCATCGAGAAGCGCACTCTTAAAATTAAAGACAAATATTTCTTGTTCCCTATGGTCTAGGTGATGTGTGGAATTTATCAATTACTTGTTTGGCATTTCCAACATAAAATTGAAGATAGTCGAAGGCTAGAAACTTTCCATTGTTGGGCTGGAATGTAAACAGGTATGTTAGGTTTTTTCAAAAAATTTATAACTATTCATTTATTACCTTGTGCCCCTTATCTGTATAAGTTGTCTAAAAAATAGAAATCAGAATTTTACTTATTAAAATAAGTAACCTAGTTTATTTACTGGAGTAAATAACTCTGTAAATAATTTCAACTTACCATTGCTACATATTATTACCACGTAGAGAAAACTACAATACTGAAAGGAATGTTTTTTTTACACCAGCTTTTATATAGACCCTGAAAAGAAGCTAAACAGCTTTGTTATTACTAGATTTTGTAAATAATTAATTAATGCAAATAATAATGCATAAAATATTATTTCTAAACCTAGAATTATCTATGAGACAAATACTTAAGTACCTATAATAGAATATCAACTTGTTTTTAAATTATATACATATATCTCTACATATGAAAAATTAGTTGATTACCTAATTATGATTTCTTATACGCACCTAAAAGTAATTCGCAGTTTTCATGTCAAGTATGTCCTAACAAATATCAATTAATAGTATATTTAAAAATAGAGAGCATAGTTTTCACTGCATGGGATGGATAATTCACTTCAAACTGACCATCAGAGCTTCTACACACTAAAGTCCATTCAGGTCCAGGGGCAATGAATAATAACCTGTCCAGACGAGCATACTGCAATTTAGTCACTAGCAACCAGAAATATGAAATAGGGCTAAGAGTTGGCTCTTCCCGTCTCCGAGGGTTGCAATTTGTACATCTGTTAGATTTGTTTTTGGGATTATCATTTTTAAACAAAAGTCTGGAAATTTGCCATTTGATACACAATGTTGGTGAGGGTGAGTGAAGACTGAGACCCAGAGGCAAACAACGAGATTGGTTTCTTAGACTGACACAGTTTAATTTTGATGTTTATTTTTGAAATAATATGCACGAAATCGCATGCAGGCGAACATGCGTCTTGCTTCAAAAACACTATTATATTTTTCTGATTATCCATTTTTATATATTTGTCAGTTTTTGCATAAAATCAACATTTTTCAATGTATTTTATGTGAAACAACTTATTTCGGAGGTGTGTTCTAGACGTCATCACCCAGCGAAAAGAACTGCAGCAATGTTTGAGAAATATTGCATCAGATTTTTGTTCTTTGTGGGAATATGAATGAAACCTTGTAAGAATTATCTCATGTAGTAAAGAGCGTAAATTAATAGACAAGTCATTGAACTTTTATGTTAATTGATATAATAGAGATTTTATTGCATAGCATTCATTTGGAATATTCTGATTCATCACTTTTGTTGGTTGAAATTTAAACCGGCTGGGTTTTAAGAATATTGTAGGTTAGATTAGAAATTATACTTACAACTGCGCTTACAGCATAGCTAAAATAAGGACAAGTTTAAATCTCAGTTTAAATACAAAATGGAATGCTTTTGTGTTTGAATAGAAGGTGTTAATGTTCTGCTATGGAATTAATTTTAGATGGAAAATGTGATCCTTCAGCAATAAAATATAGGATTCTTAATATACTTCAGCCGATACTTTAGCCGGGATTTTAGCCTTTTTCCAGGTCTTTTTGTTTTTGAAATGAAAAACAAATAAAATTTGTTAAATAGGTATTTTGCGAAGTTGGAGAATTTACATATTAATGAGGCTTCTGACATCTAAAACTATAAGCTAACATAGCAAATAATAGTCCACACGCATGGCTTGCTTATTATTTTTGTGTTTTGGGAGCCGTGTTTTTAAATAATTATAGAGTTTGTTTGGCTGTGCATTTCTACAAAAATAAAACAATCTTGTGAGTTTGAGAAACAGTGTTGCTCTCTTCAGTATGCCTTAAAAATATGACTCCATTTGTTGCGTTTATCGCTGGCATTCTCAAAACGGAGAAGATAGAACTATTAATCATCTCTCTTGTTTTTTGGGTAATGATTTTCAATACCATAATTTGATAGTTTATTCCGATGTCTGAAGACATAGCATGCAGATAATCATTCACAAAGAGAGTGACATGATGGCTGATGAGATCGAGGAAGGTCGTTTAGGAGCCCAAAATCACAAAAGTTAGCGACTTCCCTTTATATATTTGTTTGATCTTGATCTTATTAATGTCTGATAAGTTGCCAGAATGTCTCATTATAAATCTATATCGTACCGCCTATGTTCAGTGGGTACTACTAATTATAATATAGTTAATCCACTCACACGTGAAATATAGCAATTTAGCTATAGAAATTCTAGTGTTTAGCATTTCCTTCAAATCAAATAGAATACATTACCCCATCAAATACAATTATTGCTATTTTCCATTGCTTTTATGTATTCAATTCAAAAAACAAAATAATATGCAACATTTTTAGAATATTGGAAGTTACAATTGCTGATCATTTATTGATTTTTGGTGAGAGATACTGAAAAAATGTAAAGTATTCGGGAGGTGTTGTTTTTTGTGACAAATACTACGTAATTTGAAATGCTGAGACTTAGACCTTGGCACTATTCAAGAATTTTAGAATGGAATAAGTTTTCTATCATCATAGTTCGTTTAATTATAATAAATATTTGCATGTTGTTGTTCAGTTTTCCCTAAATCTACATATTGTTGCTGTTGTGACGCCATAGCATTGAAATTCTTGTTAATCTTGTTTTTATTTTGCATATAAATTTGTTGAAAATAACAGGTTGTTAATAAACAATGTATTAAATTTAATACATAAAGGTATTATGACGATACATTTACTTTTTATCTCGCTTCTCATTATTTCATTACTGCTAAACTCATCTTCACTACTAAATTCATCTCCATGTTAAAAAAAATCAGAGGATTAAAGCAAGTCCTGTGAAGGAGTCTCGAACCACCAGCCCAAAAACAATAAAAAGAATGGATTGCCCCACTGATAAAAAAAAAACTTATTATTATTAATAAGTATTAATTATTATTGGATTAGCAATGCGAGGTGACATATCCAACTTTCTACTTAGATGCCCTATCTATTTTAAAAGTTGGGAGCTTGAAGAACACACAGAACAATTTAATCTTTTGGCACTTCTGAATTGTTGTTTTAATCTGAACCTTACAATTCAGCAGGACCCTGGAATAGCAGTCACTTCTAGTAAATGCATTGACAATATTTGTTTATACTGTGAAAATGTTGATAACGTAGTATTTTATAATTTTGTTTCTAGTCATTTGGCACAAAATAAAAACAATTTTGAAACAAGTAATTCCATCTATCCTTTTCTACAATACAAATTTATTTTCTCTTAGAAGAGGATCTCGCTTCGAATAATCGTGAAAATTAACCAGATATTTTGTCAGCTATGTCAAATTTTAGTCACATATTTCAAGATGAATACAAGCAAAGTATTAAATAATGTCGCGAAAATTTTGCGGAAGCGCCAGGGTGTACAGAATTGGACAGCTGATTCGAGATTTTACGTTGATGTTCGGGAACAAGGTCGATCGCGGTTATTCCGGATTTTGCAAGAATAGATTAGGGATATACAGGGTGATAATTTGAAAACGAGCAATCGGGAATATCTCTTAGACAAAAAATACTATCAGGAAGATCTCAAATACGTATTGGGGGATTGGAGGGGAAACCAAAATGATGGGACTTTTTGAGTCACCCCGCCTCACCCCTTAGGGCAACTTATTTTTTTTTTTAAATGCGAACCTACATTTTGTTGAACATCGTTGGGTAGCTCGTTGCTATCCCTTTAGAGTCCTATAGAAAAATCTCAAATCGTACGATTAGTTTTTCAGATATCGGTGTTTAAAAGTAAGCACATTGTGAAAACTAGTAATTTTGACTATCTCATAGACAAAAAAAATCTGTCATAAAAGTCTCGAATACACATTGGGGAAACCAAATAATGCGATTATCGTAGTTCTATCTGCTTCTGCACGTCTCTAAAGACGAATAAAAAACCTTTCAAAAGAGCTATCGTACGGGGTAGGTTCTCATTTTAGAAAAAATATTAGGCGCGGCTAGCCCCCAAAAGAAGAGGGGTGGGGGTTAGGCGATAAACAAATTTGGTTCCACGATGTGTATTTGAGACTGTTATGACAGCATTCTTTTGTCTAAAAGAAAGTCAAAATTACTAGTTTTCAAAATATGCTCACTTTTAAACACCGAAAAAAATAAGTTAGGGTAGCTACCCCCCAAGGGGTGAGGCGGGGTGATTCAAAAAGTGCATCATTTTGATTCCTCCTTCAATCCCCCGATAAGTATTTGAGATCTTCCTGATAGTATTTTTTGTCTAAGAGATATTTCCGATTGCTCGTTTTCAAATTGCCAATATAAAGGCCGGTATTAGTTAGAAGTTTTTAAGTTTAAGTTTGGCTGTTATATGATTAAGATAGTGAATATTGTTCAGAGTTGTAAAGAGTTGAGTTGTTTCAGTTAATTAATGAAGTAATTGGTGTCAGAGTTTATAGTAACGTGGAATAAATTATTGCTGTGTTAATTGGACTTTGATTTTGGAATAAACGGACCCAAGATTAATGTCACGCACCCAAGAGCCGTGACAATAATTTGCATAAATAAGCATATTTCTTCATCCACTCAAAATAGCTCTTATAAGGCCACTATACAGAAAACCGAGGAGGAATTCACGTACATAATTTTGTACACCAAAAATCCTAAAAAAAAATTAATAATTTTGCAACTGTAACGCTATGCCAATGTATAAAATAGTAGATGGGAAAAATTGTATAGATTACGCATGTTTTTGACTCTGAGCAATAGGTAAAAATTAATTCTTAAAAATTCTAATTGAATTCTAAAAATGATAAAAAAAACACTAGAAAATACTAAAAATTATAAAAATTACCAAGAAAATTACTAAAAAATACTGATAATTCAAAAAAAAAGTCTAGAAAAATTTGAAAATTTTCAGGTGGTTTCCCCCGGGGAAGAATCCACCTACCTACCTAATTTTGTAGCTACCACCGAAGCTACCAAAAGTTCTAAAATTCTGAAAAATGTTAATTTTCATGTAATTGTTTCAAAAAATTCTAATAAAATCTAGAAATTCCAAAAATTTGTAAATATTTCTAAAATTGTAACGCTATGACAATTTATAAAATAGTAGAGTGGAAAATTCCTATGGGATTTCGCTTTTGAGCGTCCGCAATAGGGCAATAGATATAAATTCTAAATTAATGCTAAAAATTCAGTTTGCACAACAAAATTCTAAGGTGACTTCCTCCTCGCAAAAAACTGTGGGACTCTGAATGGTTTGATAGGTATAGACCAAAGACCAATACTTATTTAAATGGATTGGGCCGATATTTGGGTGAAAATTGAAATCCATGGTTAGGAAGAAGTAAAATTAATTTCTGATATATTTTCAATAATTTTTTTATTAAAACAGGGGCAGTGACTGTTTTAGGGCCGGTTCGACAATTCAAGTAAATCCTGATTATAGGCTATACCTAGCATAAAGGTTCATTTTTGATTTCTAGAATGAACTTTTATGCGAGGTATAGCCAATACTAAGGATATACTTGAATTGTCGAACCAGCCCTCAATAAAAAAAAAAAATAGTGAAGATATAGTAGAATTTACCTTTACCTCTTTTCAACCGGATGCCTCTTTGCAGAAGCGGCAAAGGTCTGATTCAGCTTTACCCATCTTTTTCAGGTGGTAGCCAAGAGGGCAGTGGCCGGTGAGGAGATGTTATGAGCCTCAAGTCTGGTTTGCTGAAATCGAGTAGTTCCTTTGCCTTTGTTGACTTTGGCGAGATGAATTGCTTCACCTGTCTAAGTCCTGGAGTGTTGTTCCAATGGGAGGCCTGTTGTGCCTGTTGATCGACCTTACTATTTATCCTCGTGATAAGCCTCTATTCATCCTCGTGATAAGCCTTCACCCTGTCAAGATGCAGCACCCTCTCTTCTAAGTTCATACCTCCACCCGGAATCATAAAGATCTCATCTATTATTCTCCACCTCCCTTCTACCAGTAGCTCTACGACTTTCAAGCCTTGGACTCCTTGGAACCATGCCTTTGAGAATAATGTCCTAGAGAACATCTGTTTTCTTTGTCATACTTGTAATCATCTTCATCGTCCCAATTATCAACATGCTCATCTTCTCTATGCCTGTCAAATGAATTCCTTCTAGAATGCTTTCCTGTCTATCCAGGTCTACCAGCACGCTTGCGTGGTTCTTCTTCCCATGGAATCACCACGGGAGCTAGAAGAATGGCCACCTGATATCTTATAGGCCGCTTCAATTTCTAGGGCTTGGAGTAGAGCTCCGCTGTTACTTGATGGTTAGGTTATGAGTAGCATTTCCTGTTTCTCCATATGTCTAATTCCATTCATGAAATTTTCGGCCGTTAACTGTTCTCGCATTTCTGCTGTTGCTTTTTTGTAGACCAAACTAAACAGACGGCAGATATCGGTTTCAAATTCTTGTTAACTTTCCAGGCTTTCGGGTGTCTTATTCTTAGCTGTACCTGGTAAACCTGCCACCTATGCTGATCCATATAACGACGCTAGAACGCATCAAGAAGCGCACCATAGTTTTGTTGGGAAGCACTCAATGATACAAGCGAGCCTGTAGCTATGTCACCATGGCTCCAAACATTAGACATTGCAACAGTATCGAACTGACGCCTGTCCATACCCCACGATGTCTGACCATCAGTCGTATGGTAGTGGCCTAACTTCAATACCGGTTGTAGGCGAAGTCATTCTAAATTTTTAATATCATTCTGAAAACAACTTGATTTCTTGTCGGAAAGCTCCAACTTCCGGAAGAACAGTTCCAGCTTCCTGGCTAACACTCCCAACTTCTTCACGTACTTCCTCCATTGCATTCTTGAATTTATGTATTATCTTGTTTTTTCTGGATTACTGGTTGGGAGACTGGTTAGTCTCTCAGATATCACAGTTCGCATCCATTCCATTGAAATTCAGAATTTTTTCTGTAGCTGGTCCCGTTCGTCTTGTTTTTGGTCTTCTTCTTGCCTTTATTTCTGTCTTTGGGCTTCCTCTTCTTTTCTTTCTTTCTATCTCCGGTCTTCCTCTTCTTGTCTTTTGTTTTGATATTTTTCATGAATTCCAGCTTAAAATATAAAGTCCGGTGGTGAAGTCAAAATTTCCGTACCCTGAACATAATCCATGTGCTAATATTAACACTGAAGCCCAATTTAATATAAATATTATACTAGTTCTTAAATATTTAGATAGAAATAACATTGAATGTTCTATCGAACATCACCATGTGGACTTGTTTTTCGATTTCAAAACCAGTGATAAAGTCGTTATTTTACTTCAAGAAGAGGTCACTTATTTTTTCCACTAATTAGCTCAAATCAGTCTCCTAATTATCTCGCTAATTATCCCTCTTCGGACACCAAATTGTCACGGATTCCGAGGATACTCTGAAACACTCTCAACTAATTTTTATTAAACTAGTTGACTTCACATAAATCACTTATCGCTTTTACTTAACTTTGTGCAAGAATTATGTTATTTAGATTGACTGACTGACTCATAAACTACGCGCTTTATAAAAGAAACCATCACACAATGGAACTCCTGAATAATCGCAATCGGGTCGTTAACAGTGGCGCTGGCTTGTCCGCACCAGTGAAATTTCGTAGCAATTTGAAAATTCTCAAGCAATCGAAGTCGGCTACTAGTATTTTCTGAACACCCCCGTACAGATAAATTATCATTTTATCCTGGAACTTTTTGGTCATGAATGGTTATTAGTATTACAAAGACCTGTTGTTGTTGTTGAACATCTCAGTGAAAACTTATAAGCCCAGTTAAAAAAAAAAAATATTATATTGATTATACAGGGTGCTTAAAAAAGACACGGCAATATTTGAGGGGGTGATTCCTCAGGTCATTTTATGGAAAAAAGTTCCCATAAACATAGGTCCGGAAATGCATTTTTTGCAAGATACAGGGTGGTAAAGATTAGACCTAAGAGCTCAAATCATTGGTGGGTGTAACTCAATTAGAAATGACCCTGGTATTTTTGAGAGAGTTCGCCAGTCAATGAGGAGAAGATTGGATTCCTGCATCCACGCCGGGGGTGGTCACTTTGAACAGTTTTTGTAATGTTTTTGTATCACAATGGACAAGCAAGAAAATAGTTTTCATCTTTTATTTTGTAAACGAAGCAAGATACGAGAAAAATTTAAGAGACAAAAAAGTTGCAGTTTTAGTTGATTTATCTGAAAGAAAAATCGAAATTAAATTAAAGTCAGTGGCGTACATTTTTTCGTCAATAAATTTTATTAAATTGCCCCCCCTAACGCCACTGGAGTTAAAAAAAATTATCTAGTTAGGGCAAAACTAGCCCCTAATTACTAAAAACAACGCTGCCAATTTTCAAAAAAATCGGTGAGAAGATATTTGAATTATTTAAAAAAAAACGTTATTTTAAAAAAATCTTTAACACCCTGTATCTTGGAAAAAATGCATTTCCGGACCTATTTTTATGGGAACTTTTTTCCATAAAATGACCTGAGGAATCACCCCCTCAAATATTGCCGCGTCTTTTTTAAACACCCTGTATAGAACTCCTTGAAATAAACTGCTGGACAATAATTGCTTTCGAGCAAGGAAATTTTTTCGCCTAACTTTCAAAATCAATATTTTTGGAACCAGACCAAATATCGACCTCCGGTTTTCACGGGCTGACAGATTGAGTTTTAGTGAAAAAAATTGCTATATGGAAACCAGAGGTCGATATTTTGGTTCCAAAAATATCCAGCTTTAAAGTTAGGTGAAATTTTCCTTTTGCTACAAAGGAATTGTCCAGCAGTTTAGTTTTCTGCAAAAACTCCACCACAATAAAATCATACCCCAAACCGTTTTCAAAAATGTTCGGACAATTTGAACTTTAGGTAGTGGTTTGCTTTTTCACCCTCCTGTATGCCTACAATATTTGTTACAAATATTGTTCTTTTCGATTTATAAATCCTCATATTCCTAATAAAATTGGGAAATTTGCCATCAATATTTGATTGATAATCCCTAATCGATACAATTTTTTATTGTCGAGATATTTTGATCCCGGAACTTTGCTTGAAAAATCGAATATCCACTGAAATTATATAGTATAGAAAAGATTGCATCTGCCGGCTTTCCAATTTGAATTTTGTATTTTGGATCAAAATTACCATAAAAACAAAAATTTTTAAACAAATAAACGCTTGCCTTTCAATTTATCCTTTATTCCTAAATTTAAAAATATACCTACAGAATTTATTGATAAAAAATTCCACCCTATATACTCAGCATGACCTTGACTTGCCCTCCTCTCCGCTTAGCCCCACAAAATTTGATATCAACACGGTGGCTGTTCATTGATCCTGCCTTCTGTCTCTATCTATGCCATGGGCTCTAGAGTTTGACTCCCTGCTCTGTCCTTTTTTTACGAAATACACAGGAGCAACATGGCGATTTATTTACTTTGTTGGGGTCTATTTCAACTGAACAAGTTAGTTTGTTAATTATTTATTATTGCCCATTTAAGGTATTATATAAAAGATATAGATAATGACAATTCAATATCTATTTTTGGACGAAAATAAAAAGCTAATTAATTTCAGTGGCCATATGTTGCTGCTTAGAATCAATGGGAAATTCTTTTAGAAAAAGTAGAGGTCAGTGTTTGTCCTAGTAACATTATTCTCTTCCCTTAAACAGTATTTTAACGTTATATTTTGTTTCAGGTGTCAAGTATGACCGCCACAGATGATTCTATGGACGATGACGTATTTGAGACTCAAGAAGATACAGATAATAAACTAAAACTTTTAGAGAATAGCATCGATAGAAAAGCTGATACTCGTTCTCCTACTGGTTATAGGGGATACAAGCCTCCGACTGAAGTTTTGAATTTGTGTAAAACTAATGTTTTGGATGACGTCCAGATTGTTATACATAAGGTAAGAATATTTAGTGTACTTCCCAATATCAATCTCCCAAATAGAAATAAAAGTTTAAAAATCAGAGTATCAAGAATTTTTTTTTTTTATCAGAAAACTCTGGGCATTATGAAATTTGTAATCTTGGACAAGTTTGCACTTTTTTGTAATTATCTCCAGAACTATTATGTAGTTTTTTCAAGAAATAAGTTGAGTAGGTGCATGAATTTCTAAATTTAAAAATCAGGGACGATTCAGTTTTTTTTAACCTTTTAATTTCCCTAATTAAAAAAAAAAAAAAAAACTATTTATGTCACACATGGAATAAAAACTTCTATAATTTTTAAAGTTACATATTTTCTATGTATGTTCTTCGAAATATTCGTAATCATCCTGATCATCCCTACTACCCACATGCGTAACATCTCTATGCCTGTAAATGCTCGTCGATTCGATAGTATGTCTTCCCATCCAAGTCTACCCTCACTTCTGCCTACAGACTGGCGTAACAAGAAATATAAGAATGGCCACCGATCTCAAAGTCACCGTCCAACCTTTTAATATAAATAAATAAATAAATAAATAAAAAAAAAAAAAAAAAAAAAAATAAATATGGTCTTTATTTTCCAGCAAAAAAAAATTAAATATTCACAATTCAAACCCGAACGGTACAAGAAAAAAAAAAAAACTGAGCCAGAAAAATGCCGAAGATCAGTTGACCAGCTTGAAAACAAGATGGCCTCTGCATTAAATCTTAAGCAAAAAATAAATAAAATAAAAATAATAACTTTTCCCAAACCTTAAGTCCTAATAATACTTATAAGCTAACTAACTATACTATATACCATATAAAATATAAATATAAATGTAAGTTCATACTTAATTATGTTTCCCCAAACTGCATGCTGTACAAAAAAAAAAAAACAAAACAAAAATGTGTGCCTACGGTACCTAATGTAAATGAACCTTGGATAAATCAGCAAGCAGACTCTCAATGACATGATTCTGTACTAACCGAGACATAGGTAAAGTTCAACAGCTGAGTAAAAAATTTTTGAAACCTTTTTTAAAACCTAATTCGGATTTCTCAATAAGCGAGGCAGGAACAGCATTGTATATTTTGGATATTTGATAAGTAAAACAACGTTTAAAAAATTCTATTTTATGCTTTGGAACCCTTATCCTGTTCACATGTCTCAAGTTCCGAGAGTGAGGATTTCTATTAAAAATAATTTTATTAAATAAATATGATGGCATTTTATTCAAAATAATTTTGTGGAAAAGGCATGCCGAAAGTAACTTCCGACGGTTAGCCATATTAAGCCAGTTTATTCGGGGATCCTTTAATTTGTGTGATATTGGGCATCGGCGCCTTATTCCACATATCAAACGTAGACAGGAGTTTTGCACAACCTGGATTCTTTTTGTATCTCTGGAGTCTATACAAGGCCCATAAACTGCGGAGCCATAGTTGAACCTGGAGAGAACTAAAGATTCACATAAAATTTTCTTTACAGGGAAGCTCACATACTGTCTCACAGAGAAAATAGTTTTAAGATTAAGGTAAGCTGATCGTATGCATTGGTTAATATGTGTTTTAAAACGAAGGTGACTGTCAAAAAGAACTCCTAAATTTCGAGCTGAGCTTGAAAGTCTTATTTCAGCACCCTGTACTCTGACAAAAAACTGTTGTGAATCAATTTTTACTCTATTTTTTCTGGTGCCAAATAAAAGAAAATTAGTTTTTTTTGCATTAATGTAAAGCCCATGATTTTTTGACCACTGTACTAGCTTATCTATGTCGCTATTAATTTGATTAATTGCTTGATCAGCATTTTTTGGTAAAAAAGGTAGTCGAATTTGAGTATCATCACAATATAAAACAGATTTACAAAATTCAAACACCTCTGGCAATTTATGGGTATAAACAATGTAAAAAAGTGGTCCCAAGATGGATCCTTGTGGAACTCCAGCTCGAAGATTCCTAGCAGATGATATATCGTTACCTATTTTAACCCTTTGGGATCTCCCAGCCAGAAAATCTGCACACAGTTTCAAAGGAATATCAGCAAATCCAATAGATTTTAATATTGCGCTCATAAGAGGGTGGCTTATCGTATCGAATGCCTTCGAATAATCTATCAAAACAAGTGCTGTAAGTTTAGTATTGTCCGCCTCTTTAATAATGTCGTCAGTCAAATCCAAAAGGGCTGTTTCACAACTATAATTCTTACGAAAACCACTCTGACATGAGGGCAGGATATTATTTGTAAAGACAAAATGTCGAATTTGCTCGTCAATAACCCGTTCTAAAACCTTAGAAAGAGTACACAGAATGCTCACTGGTCGAAGATCTTTAATTTCTTGAATATTATTTGTTTTCGGGAGAGGCCTTACCACTGCCTGTTTCCAAGCTGTAGGAAAAACCCCCTGTTCAAGGCAAGAGTTCGCAATATGTGTTATGTGTGGAAGAATTCGAGGACAGCAGTTCAAAATCATTTTTATGTTTATGTTATCAGTTCCTTGTGCATTTGATTTGACATTATAGAGAATCCTTTGAATGTATTCAATGTCAATATTTTGAAAATTAAATTTTCCCCAACTTGGCTCAACGGATAAATATGAATCCAAAATATTCGGATCAATCGGTGGAATTTGAACGGAAGTTGTATAATAATCATTGATGGCATTTACATCTCGGATTAAGTGCGGAATTTCAATTTCTCCCTTGCCTAGATTAAACCTTTTTAAAGTTTTCCATGTATTTTTTACTCCTCCTATTCGTATTTGGTGTTCAAAATAAGCGCGCTTTTCATTTCTTGTTGCTAAGGTTGCATAGTTACGCAAAGACTTAAAATACTCTCTATCCTTATTACTTCGAGTGCGTTTCCATTTGGCCTTAGCTTTGTTTCTAAGCTTAAGTATTAACTTTAAGGTCGGTGTTAACCAAGGGCTGTATCTTTTTGTTACTTTAACTTCTTTAAAAGGTGCAAACTTATCAAATAAATTTAGTATGTAAGTGTTTAGAAGTTCCAGTTTTGTATTAATATCAGGCACGGTAAAAATTTCATCAAAAGGAATTGTGGTTAGTTCATCATTAAACAAATGTTGATTAAAATTTTTAAAATCCCTGATTTTTTTTATTTCTGGTATTGGTTTATCACTAGGAAAATGTAGAACGCAATAAATTAGTTCATGATCTGATATATGGTCTACAGATATTACACCACTTTCTTTAACAGTCATCTCATCACTTACAAGAATGTGATCGATAAGTGTCTCAGTAGTTAGGGTCAGGCGGGTTGGTGAATTTATAATTTGGCATAGATCTAAAGATTCTACCGAAGACATGTATGTATAAAATGCAGGGTTTTGACTTAAAAGGTCAACATTAAAGTCTCCTAGACAGATTACTTCATCGACTTCTGAAAATAAATTTGTGACGGACTGCTCAAAGATGTCCAAAAACGCACTCAAAGAAAAGTCAGGTTGTTTATACACAGTACCAACTGCCAGCCATTTTTTTTTCAACCTGAATTTTAACCAAACCTGCTCTATAGCATCATCAGATTCAAGAAGTGTAAAGTTAACCGACTTTTTGACATACAATCCAACGCCCCCACCCCTGTTTAATTTCCTGTCAACCCTTACCAATGTATACCCATTTATATGTAAAAAGGCATCTGGAGTTTCCTGAGTCAACCAAGTTTCGGTCATACAGAATATGTCATAATCACCATCAAGTATAGTTGCTCTTAAATCCAAAAATTTCATAAACATCGACCTTGTATTAAGGTGTCCTATTTTAAAATTTTCACTAGCCATTTTATGAAACAAAAACAACAACAAAAAAAAAAAATCTTATAGATTTAGGCCGACAATCAAAATACCCAGGCACTTAGAATGAAGAAACCACAAACTACCTACCTATATATATTCCTTTTTTTTGGCCAATTCAAATACTTTGATGCGAGATTAAACAGAGATAAAAATTTATTTAATTTAATTCCAAACCTAATTCGAATTTTAACATAAAGAAAACAAATTGAAAGGTCAAAGAAAAAAAAAAAATAATTTCCTTTATAAGGATGAAAGAGAACAAATTTAATGCTACGTTAAAAAAACACTGAACAAACTGCTGCTTTCAATCTTTATTGACTGTGCTTCTGGTCTTTTTTGGGCTGTAAACGATGCTCCGGCGCTTGCGTTTTATAGATTTTGAAACTTCTCCAGGGGTACTGGTAACTTCACCACCACTGTTTGGGTTTTGCTCTTTATCAGATGAATCAGAATCGCTGTCTGCTTCCTTTTCCAATTCTAAAAGCTCCTCCACCGAATAGCTATCTTCGCCAATCTCTAGCTTGCCGTTTTTTATTTTTGCATCAAGCTTTTGCTCTTTAGCTTCACGAAGATGTTTAACTAAAACTTTTTGCTTCTGTCTATCCTCGAAGCTACTGTCATGCGATATGGATATGCCACTGTTTTTGAGTTTACCAACTAAGCTATAAATGTAACGCTTTTTTAAGTTAGACACAAACTCTAAGATAACTGGCGCCGAATTGGAGGCTTTATTAATAAAAACGTTGTTTATATCTCCCTCTGAAATATTGGTCCCTAACAACGAATTTAATTTAGTAAGAGTTACTTTTAGTACATCTGAATTGTCTGCTAGTTTCAATCCCCAAACAGCTATATTATTTCGTCGAGATTTCCTATCAAGAGACAATACTTTATTCTCCAATTTGGTGATTTTGGACTGATGCTCAGCCACCGTACTTACAACCCCATCAATTTTTTGCCTCAGCTCTTGTTTAATCTCCTGAGTTTGCTCAATATTAGCGGCCTTTAACAGATCTAAGAGCTCTTTTGTTGAGAGATCCTTAACTTGTTTGTTATCACTCATGTTAGTAAGTACAGTGGCTTAGGAAAAATTTAAAAAAAATCAAAAACGGCAGTTATATTTACGATCATACGAAAATAGTGCGGAAGAGTCGGCAACACCGATCGAGTTTCCGTTAAAAATTTATGAATATTCCGGGTCCAAGGTTCAATTTATTCTTTCACGTTTTTAGGTAATCATCTAGTTTCTTACCACATGAACTTCGTTTAGCGACGTTTTTGGCACAGTGAATAGCAAAACTTCTTTAGAGAACGATTTTCACTAAAAATTATATTTATTTTTGTAATAAAACTATGAAATACTAGAAAATGATCGGAGCTCCTTAAATGGCAAACTTTAAGCAACGTTGTCGCCTCGACCTATATCCTTCTTAATAAACTTTGTTAATACTATCAATTTCTTGGCGAAAGGTTCCAATTTCCTGATGAACAGCTCCAATTTCCTGAAGAACCCTCCCACTTTATTCACTTCTTCTGGTCTTCGGACTTCTTATCAGTCCACCACACCCATAGGGTATGGATGGAGGACTATTAAAATCGTAAAATTTTAACTGCTATTTTCACGACATTTCATTGCATGGTGGACTATTCGTGTTTTTCCAGCATCAAGTCCTGTGGCGAAGTCTTTCAACTTCTTAAAACTTAAAATCTCATCCATTTTGTAACATAAACAACACAAGTTCAACCAAACCGCAATAAACGAGAGCTCACATTATTGTTTGTTTTTTTTTGTACATAAGAGAACACCCTGAGAAAAGTTTTATTCTATTTTTTTGATTGACTTGGGCTCTTGGTGATCCAAAGCGTCGGGTTCAAGAGCTTATCAAATGAAAGTTAATACACAAACGATGTTTTTTGAGTGAGGAATGTGTCAAATTTTATGTTTATGTTTTCAGACAATTTTGTTGGGCGATAGTGGAGTAGGCAAGACATCTCTTTTGGTAAAATTTGATACTGGGAAATTTGAATCTGGGAAGTTTTCGGCTACGGTTGGCATTGGATTCACTGTATGTACCTTTTATATCTAATTACGAATTTATTGTCGTTATTTTACTTTGTAGCTGGAGAAGCGAACTAAGTTGTATTTTTTGTGATATTTTTAGACAAAGGTGGTCGAAGTTGACGATACAAAAGTAAAACTACAGATTTGGGATACTGCCGGCCAGGAACGTTTTCGTAGCGTTACACATGCCTATTATAGGGATGCACACGGTAATTTTGTTATAATTTCAATTCTTATTATTATAGTGTAGATAGAAGCTTTTTTTGAAATTTCAATGTCCTTAAAAATAGTGATTCTTAATTAAAAGGAAATGCATAAAATGAAATTTCTCACAGAAAATAGGGTACATCCTTTAATTGCAGCAAAATAAGCTGATTAAAGTTTTCTAGCTTAATCAATCATTATTAATTAAATAAGGGAATGCTAGTGATTTATCCACACAGTTTCCTTCAAAAACGTATCAAGTTTTTTGGACTTTCTTTATTGGATTATTTATATTAAAGCTAATGTGTCATCCTCGGCCAGGTTTTTAGGTCGATCCCGTTAGCCTCGCCTATTCAACTTTTCTATATTTCTTCGTGCTAATTAACTGTGTTCCTAGTGTGCTTAAATGTGCTGCTAATACTAGGGAGTAGGGACTGTGGTGACTTGCACTCAACTCAAGGTTTCCAACTTGACGCTCAGCCTCCCCATTTTTTCGATTATTTTATCAAACAAAAGCAAAAATGAATGCAACCTTTAGGGTGCTGAACTGTGCTGTTAATATTTTAAGCCTAATTTTTCGTCTAACCTCCGTTTTTCAAAATAGGCTAAAAATATTAACAGTACAGTTCAGCACTATGAAAGTTCGTTATTGCTTTTGTTTGATAAAATGGTAGAAAAAATGGGGGTGCTGAGCGTCAAATTGGTCCCGCCATAGCATTTTTCCAAAAAACGAGTTGTTCAACAAAAAATACGCACAGAATTTTTACAGCACAGTTCAGCATACTTTAAGTTGCATTAGCTTTTGTTTAAAAAAATAATTGAAAAAATGGGGAGTCTGAGCTCGGGTCTGAGCGTCAAGTAGGCCCAGCCAAAGCATTTTATTGAAAAACAAAGGTGTGACGGAAAATTGAGTTGAAAATATGATAAGCACAGTCCAGCACACTAAAAGTTGTATTAATGTTTGCTCTTGTTTGATAACATATTCGAAAAAATGGGAGGGCTGAGCATTAATTGGCCTCGCCAAAGCATTTTCTTGAAAAACAAATAGACCATGAGATAGGGACTATTGAGTGGAGTAATTTGTTTTTGTCTGGCATTTTGATGGCTGAATATAGCTAGTTAGCTGATGAGAATATGCGAGATTTTATTGCCTGCTCCCCGTTCGAAAATTCGGGAAAAAAAATCATTCAGATGATCTTGAATTCTCTGGCTTTTGAATAAAAGGTTGACATTGATACATAAATCACCCATAAAAAATGCCAGATGCTTTTCAATGGCTGAAAAAGTGGTGATGGGTGTCAACTTGCAAGAGGAAAGTATAGAACCTACCGCATTTAGTTTCTGTCTGGCAATCGAGAGAATACAAGGTTTTGTTGAAAATAACGCTGAAAAATCGCCAGACGGTAATCACAGTTCGAAATCGAGTTTTCCGCAAAAAATTCTGTGGACATTTCGAACGGGGAGCAGGCATTAAAACCACTTATATTCTCATTAGCTAACTAGCCACATTCAGCTTTCAAAATGCCAGACAAAAAAAAATTAATCCACTAAACATTGCCTATCTCAGGATCTAGACGGCTGAACGAAAAATTAAGTTAAAAATATCAACAGCACAGTTCAGCGCACTAAAAGTTCTTTTTTTTTATTCGTTTGCTAAAATAATCGAAAAAATGGGGGGACTGAGCGTCAAATGGGCCCCGCCGGCCTGCCATTACATTTTTTGAAAGAAAAAAAAAACGAGGAATAAATGAAAAACTAAGATGCATTGATTTTTGCTGTTGTTTGATATAATATTCGAAAAAATTTGCGGGCTGAGCGTCAAGTTGGTACCCCTCAAAATTTTGTGAATATCATTGAGTGCAACTCAGCACAGTCGCTGGTATTAGCAGCCCCGTGAAGCGCACTGGGGCCACTACGAAAAAATAGAGAAGTTGAATAGGCGGGGCTAACAAGACGGACCTTGGGTTTTTAGAGTTCAAAAGGTACATACATAATTGTACCGTAAACAACAAAACGTGCGAAAGTTTCTAATTTGTGGTTTCTTTTATTAGTGTATACTGCCTCCACTATTCTATGATGTACCTTTTCTCAATTAAATCAACATCTTTTTTTTTCAGCCCTTCTTTTACTTTATGACGTCACCAACAAGCACAGCTTTGACAATATCCGAGCTTGGCTAGGCGAAATTAGCGATTACGCACAAGATGACGTGGCTATTATGCTTTTAGGTAAGGATTATATCATGTAGGAGAAGAGTATAGCGGTCATTTTAACAGTCATAAAAATGGTTAATAGGTTTTGGTATTCCAGCGGACACATGCGCATTCTGACAAGCCTGCGTGGCTGGACTCTGCTACCTTATATATGAAGTTTAGTAATATTCTTCAACACATCATGATTGTTCAAGTTTACCTTCGCATGTATGCATATCACTAGCTTCATTTACGACTTATCATAGGCTCGTCTAAGATTAACCGTTTAGGTTTTACAGCCTGTCAAAGTAGCAAAAAAAGTCAATATTTCCAAAACTGTTGAACTTAGGGATTAAAATTTAGTAACAAAATGTATGGAATTAAAAACCCTCCAAAATGATGTATCACTTGACCTCCCTTCCCATTTAAGATTTTCTATGAGGTGGCTCTGGTGGCTGGGGGGTTGAAAAGGGGGAGGTGAATTTTGCATAAATACTCATCCCCCCTCAAATTATAGTTAACGTGTTTCAGGATTTTTTTTCTCCTCCGAGATAATAGGGGTGGTAAGTTTTAAAATGAACATCCTGTATTAGAAATATGTATTACTAAATTTCATACATTAAATTGCCTTTTTCAAAGAGGGTAAATTGAAACGCGCATTCAGTGGCAAGCTGATATGCAAGAACTGCCAATTTTTATGACTGTTATGATTACACCAAGGTATTTCATGTTTAAATTGTTTTTTTTCTAGGCAATAAAGCTGATTGTGGTACTGAGAGAGCAGTAAGACGCGAATTAGGCGAACGTTTAGCAAAGGAATATAATGTTGCTTTTATGGAGACTTCAGCAAAAAGTGGACAGAATGTTGAACTAGCATTCCATGCAGTAGCTAAGTAAGAACATCTTACTATCTATTCTTAGTATCTATTCGGTCGCCAAACGCAACGGTTCGATTTTGCAGTACACACAAACGTGCCACAGAAGTAAACAAAGTCGCGAATTTGTTTTTGTTTAACAGTCGCGCGTTATAAATAAAGTGGGCCAAGTTCATTTAAACAATGTCAGTTGGTAATATTATATTATGTTTAAAAAGAAAAAAAGTGTTACGTCGTCACCTGTAAAGCTTGTTTTCCAAATAGAAAGAAATCCTCCAAAAAATCCAAAAATGGCAAACGCCTCATTGTTTGAGGAGAGCCATGTTAGAACACCAAATGAAGATACCTTATACAGCAAATGGAAAAAATCGCAAAACGAAAAAAATTTACTTAGTATTCAAGTGGATTATCTCCAGAGCCAAGTGGAAACTATGCAAAAAAAGTTTGCCGATCTAGAGACAAAAGTTAGCCAAAAAAAAAAGAGTCCAACATGGTCTACCAAACCGACGAAGACGAGTTAGCAAAAGAAACTGAGTGGATCAGACAAAAGGGAAAAGGCTGGAAAAAACGTCGAATGGATACTTCGCTATCACCACCACAAAAGAACGCTGGCTCGGACACTACTGGAGAATCCTCCAAGGCTAAAAAGGTGCCATTACCCTCACCGATTATGGTTAATGGCGTTAATAACTTTAACGATATTTACGATAAGTTAAATATCATACAAGGAGTCCAAATAAAAGTTTTAAATAACGAAAATATCAAAATAAACGTTCAGGATGCAGAGAGCTACAGGCTGGTCACCAAAATGCTAAATGAAATAAAGCTTCAATGGCATTCATATGAAAACAAACAAGAAAGGCCAATCAGAGTAATTGCCAACAGGTTACACTTTTCCTGTGATGCAGAAAAAATTGTAGCTGACCTTAAAAATAAAGGGTTCAAGGCCCTAGAACCCTCCAACAAACTTAAGTGGGGAACAAAACAACCACTTAACATGTTTATGATAACATTTAGCCATGATAAAGACATCAACAAAATTTTCGAAATTTCCAAAATACTTGGAACTCAAGTGGAAATGAAAGCGTTGAAAACTTCCAAATTAGTCCCTCAATGCAAAAGATATCAATCTTATGGACATACTCAAAAATATTGCGCCAAAGAGCCACGATTTGTGAGATGTACAGGAAAACATCTCACTGTAGACTGTTCGAAACCAAAAGATTCTGAGCCAAAATGCGTCCACTGCGGCGACAAACACCCAGCTAACTATAGGGGGTGCATTGTAGCTAAAGAAGTTCAAAAATTAAGGAATAACCCGAAAAGGCCAACTCCCACACCACAAGCAAGCACAAATGGTCACAGCCAACAACCAAGAAACGGAGCTACACAAAACTCTGCGGCAAGGATTTACAGCCAAGCAGTAGCATCAGCTCCTGCCACTGTTAGTGGCAACTCTATTAACCAAAGCACTATGGAACAAACATTGCAATTCATTTTGGAAAAATTAAACAAACCTGATGAGCGATTAACTAAACTGGAAAATAGCAATTAGCCTTAGATTTCTAGCTTGGAATGCCAATGGGCTCTTGCAGCATCAGCAAGAGTTGCAATTTATACTAGATATACAAAAGATTGACATTTGCCTCATATCAGAAATGCATTTTACAAATCAATCCTATATTAAATTTAAAGGATATAAAGTGTATCACACAATTCATCCTAGCTAGCAATACAGCACATGGATGAAGCACTGTCATAATTAAAGGAAACATATCTCACATTGAAGAGACGGAATACAAAACAATTGAAATTCAAGCTACAGCAGTAAGTGTAAAAACCAAAACATATACACTAACCATATCTGCTGCCTATATACCACCAAGGCATTTATTGAAGAAAAATCAATTTCTCAATTTTCTTAGAAAGTTGGGAAATCGATTTATAGTTGGGGGTGACTTTAATGCAAAAAATACCTACTGGGGTGCCAGACTAACCAATTCCAACGGGAAGGAACTTCTGCAAGCTATTAATGAATATCAATGCCAGCCCTTATCCACAGGTAGGCCAACATATTATCCAACCGATCCTGGAAAAATTCCCGATCTAATCGATTTTTTCGTAATAAAAAATATATCTCCAAATTTTCTGGAGATAGAAGAAAGTTATGATTTACACTCAGATCACTCACCTATTATCCTAACTCTGAGTGAATATATAATTAAGAAAAAAGCACCTATCTCATTAGTTAATAAACTGACGGACTGGGCTAGTTTTAAACAAAGTCTGTCGGAAAAGATAAACTTATCAGTACCGTTGCGAACGCCACAGCAAATTGATGAAGAAGTCGATTGTTTTATCGTTATTATTCAACAAGCAGCTTGGGAAAACAGTCCCAAATTAAAAAGAATTTTTAAGGGAAAAACTACCCAAAAGAAATTAGAGATCTTATTATAGAAAAAAGGAAACTAAGAAGAAAATGGCAGCAAAGTCGAGATCCCCATAACAAAACAATTATCAACAATATGACGCAGCGCATAAGGCGAGAAATTCAAGAAATCAAAAATGACTCTATTAACAATTACCTTAGTGAACTCACCGGCGACAAAAGCACTAATTATTCTCTTTGGAAAGCAACTAAAGGCCTTAAAAGATCAGTTACCCAAATTCCACCCATAATAAAGTCAAATCAGCAATGGGCAAGGAGTAACGAAGAAAAAGTAGAACTTTTTGCAAGTCATTAAGAAAAGACATTTCAGCCTAACGAAGCACAGGATGAAAATCTTCCCTGGAATGAACCTTATCAAGAAGAAGGCCATATTAAGCCTACTTCACCAAGAGAAATATTAACAGAGATCAAACAAAATATCAGTCCGAAAAAAGCTCTAGGATATGACTTAAGTACTGGGAAAGTAATAAAACAACTCCCCAGGAAAGCTATTGTGAAATTATGCAACCTTTTCAATGCGTCCTTTAGGCTTAAATACGTACCTAAACTATGGAAAGTTGCAGAAGTTATCATGATACCAAAACCCGGAAAACCACCTCATGATGTGTCATCTTATAGGCCAATATCATTATTGCCCGTTTTATCTAAGCTTTATGAAAAGATACTGCTAAAAAGAATAACACCGATCATAGAAAGACAGGAAATCATTCCAACTCATCAATTTGGATTCCGCGACAAGCACTCTACGATCGACCAAGTACACAGAATAACGAATTTAATAGAAAAATCGCTGGAAGAGGGAAAAGTCTGTTCCGTAGTTTTCCTCGATGTAGCGGAAGCATTTGACAAAGTTTGGCATGAAGGCTTAAACTATAAACTAAAGCTGTTTCTGCCAAAACAATATTCTGATATTTTGGAATCATATATGCGTGATAGACATTTCAGAGTCAAACAGGAAGATTTTGAGTCAAATTTACGAAAAATAAAAGCAGGTGTACCTCAGGGTAGTGTGCTAGGTCCCTACTTATATTTATTATTTACATGCGACATCCCAAAACCAGAAAATTGTCATTTAGCAACATTCGCCGACGATACTGGTTTAATTACACTGGAGAAAAGTATTGAACAATCAACAGAAAAACTGCAGAACGCTGTCAGTTAAGTTCAAAATTGGACCAAAAAATGGCGAATAAAATTGAATGAAACCAAATCAATTCACGTTGATTTTACAAACAAAAACGTAAATCATATTCAAATCACAATTAATGACACCCCATACCATATTCAAATCAAGCTAAATATGTATGTAAACAAGTATGACGCTTGATGCGAAATTGCTCTGGAAAGCACATGTTAAGAAAAAAAGGCAAGAGCTCGAATTTAAGTATAGAAAAATGTACTGGTTAATTGGAAGGACGTCCAATTCAACCATACATAACAAATTACTGCTTTATAGGCAAATACTGAAACCAGTATGGGCATATGGCATTCAAGTTTGGGGTTGTACTAAAGATAGTAACATACAAGTTATTCAAAAATTCCAAAATAAAGTACTAAGAAACATTGTTAATGCACCTTGGTACGTTCGAAATAGTGATCTACATCGGGAACTAGGAATTCATACTGTAACAGAGACTATAAGAAAGTACGCAAAAAGCCATGAAGATAGACTACATCAGCATGTGAATGTGGAAGTGATTGAGCTCCTAGACAACACTGAGCTAGTTAGAAGACTGAGAAGGGTGAAGCCGTTCGAGCTAGTGAACTGAAATTGAAAAACACAACAAAATAGTGCTATAAACACATCAAAATTGTGATTTACAGTTTAAGCAAAGTGGGGAAAACTGTTGAGTGAACCTCAAGAATTGTAAACTTTATAGTAAATTAGGTTAAAACAAAATTGCTAATTAGTCTTACTGACTAGATTATAATGTAATAAACACAATGTGTTTGGCAAATTAAAAAAAAAAAAAAAAACTATCTATTATTAGTACAAGTTGCTTCTTATTGTTGTGTTAAACTATAGTAATTTTATTTTGAACATTTTTAGTAGGAGTAGGCATACATTTTAATGAAAATTTTAAACCTCTATTTTAAAGCCAATCAAAGACTTATTTTAAAATGTTTCCATGACAACCAGAAAAATTTTCTTTCTCTTGGTGGGTTCGCTAAGGCAGGGATTAGACTGAACGACCACTATCGATCGTCCTCGGGCGAACCGGATAATAACGGTCGTCGGGCATTTATGCTGAACGTCATCCGTCAATCAACTTTCTTACCTTTTGCCAAATCATCTGTCTGGGAATTTTTTCGATTGCGCATGCCATTCATCGATTGTGGTTGACCAAAATATCGAACCAACTCTTAATTCTAACCGGTCGCTGTTGGTGAAGATGGTCGTGCACTCGGTCGGGCAGTATAAATGAAACCGCTCGTTTCACCTTGTTTGTTTTTTGCTCGTTCGAGGACGATAGATAGTGGTCGTTCAGTCTAATAACTACCTAAACGAGATTACACTGGACATTTTTTGACATGACAAAAATACGCTTAACTGGTATTTTTAATTATTATTCATGTGGGTCAGGTTTTGAAATTTTGAAATTTTCTTACTGAATACCACTCCTGCCTTAGTTATTATTCAGAAATTTTGCCTCACTCACAGATTTGAAAAAAAAAAAACATCCGGAGAAAGAGAAAATAATTTATTCTAATATTTCTAATTTTTTGATTGTCCCGATAAATGGACATGTTTTCTGCGTCGTCCGACCGATTCCAAATCAATTAAAACCAATTCCATGTGATCCGCGAACATAGAACTGTTACTAAAAATTCAGAATTTTATTCTCCGCGAACGCCACTTTTTACACTGCGCATGCGAATAGTCCCTGAACCGATTCGGAATCGGACCCGCGAACAAAGTTTTCTGAGTTGTTTTTATTTACGTGCTATTCCTATCAAAAATGTAGGCCTGAAATATCAATATTTCTAGTTCATCGGATGAACGAAAATTACTGCGAATGTTAATAGTTATCGATATAGTAACAACTATCCTTAATTACTGTTTAAAAAAACTTTTAATTTGTTTTTAGAGAACTGAAGTGCCGACGAGATGGTCATAAGGACCCCAACCGATTTAATGTTCAGGATTATATAAGAGAGCAAACGCAGGATAATTCTGCAGTTCAACAGTGTCCTCCTTGCAGTTATTGAAAAAACAGAAAATGACTCAACTAATAGAGCGCCGAATTAAACTTAAATCAATCAACAGTTATATTACATGTAAAATTTGCAAAGGTTATTTTATTGATGCCACTACAGTTACTGAATGTTTGCATACATTTTGCAAGAGTTGCTTAGTGAAACATTTGGAAGAAAACAATACTTGTCCGACTTGCAATATTGTCATCCACCAATCGCATCCTTTGCAATATATAAGTTTCGATAGAACAATGCAAGATATTGTTTATAAATTAGTGCCTAATTTGCTTGAACACGAAACTAACCTAGAAAGGGACTTTTATAAAGTCCGGGGATTAGCAAATCCAAAAGACATTCCTTTACAAAATTTGGATTTAAATAGTGAAGACCAAAATGATCCGCATGCAGCATCAGATTATCATCGCCAAGATGAACAAGTTAATGTATGTTTGGAGTGTATAAGTTCAAATTTAAAGGCCTTAAAGAGGAGATATATTCGGTGTTCAGCCCAAGCAACTATTTTACATTTAAAAAAATTTATTGCCATGAAAATATTAAATGGAATGGACAAATATCGGGAGATTGATATTTTATGTAATGATGAACTATTGGGGAAAGACCATACATTAAAATTTGTAGTGGTTACTAGATGGCGGTTCCAAAACCCCCCCTTAATTTTACACTATAGGCCAAAAATCGATTTTTAATAATAAATCGATTCAATAACCGTTAGATTAAGAAGTTTATTTATGTAATATATAATATCCGTGAAATTTATTATAGGATTCATCAAAATCTATTTGATTTGTAGTACCTACATACAGACTGAACCAACCAACTAGACACATAGGAAGTAATAAGATGTATTAGTTTGTACCCGGTTTAGGCGGTGCTGCCAAAGCCGAGTATAGCTGAGCTGCGGAATAGCCCGAATTTTAGTGATTGTTGGGAAGATCAATGATCCATTGTGACAATCCTGCAGTGAAATGGGTATCAGCAAGATATCAGTCAACTAGTTCCATTGAAGCCTATGTGTCTAGTAGCCTGGTCTTTTCTGTATACATTAACATGACAAAAAATAAAAAATAAATGAGCATAACATTATAATTTTTTTAAAGTCTTGATATTCATAATTTAGGTAAATTTTCTAAATAATATATTAATGACTTTAATTGAAAAAAAAAAAATATTGACATTTGTTATAACATTTTTAAAGAAAAACTCAATGTTTCCTAGTAGGTACTTTTGTTGCCAGGGAACGGAAAATAACTGTGAGAAAATAGTTATTCACATTCCAAACTGTGAAAGCTTACTTTCAGGTGCGAGGTGTGAATACCTCCGAGCACCTGAAAGCTTTTGCAGCGTGTAATGCATTAAACTTTCAATTCTTCCCTCGATTTTTTGTAAAACACATAATTTAAGGATATTCGCCATAAAAATACTGCCGTGGCCGCTATTCAGGTACAGTAGTTGAAGTGCCACTCCACCATAAATAGATAATAAAACAAAAAAATATACCCATACTGTTCAATTTATAGTTTAATTTCCAACCGCTGGCTGGCGCGAGCAGTTTTTTCGAGCCACCACTTAAAAATATTAGTGACAGTGTGTTGTTAACGTTACTTTGTCAACAAAAAATAAGTTGCAACTTTGCTTACGTCGCATGGCGTATATAAGAAATTTTAACACATCGTGGACGAAACCTGCACATAGTGGTTTAGGTGACTTACCCTAGCAGGACCGATGCCACATTCGTGAGCCATTGGAAAATTGAAAAAACGTTTGGAGTGAGTGGGAGGAGAACGAAAGTGATCATGTATTCGCCGATCTCTACCAGGTGGGCTTGTTAGCTCAGTTGGTAGAGTGTCGTACTAGCAATGCGGAGGTCGCAGGTTCAAATCCTGCACAAACCCCAACTTTTTCAATTTTCCTTTGACTTTAATTTCCACAAATTTTCTTTGTAAAACTAGTTTCGGTACCTATAACCGACAAAAATTCTCCCTTTGTTCAAAAAATAATATTTTGACATTTATCAAAAAATTATCCTCCAATATAAAGTTGATGAGTTTAAACGTCTTTAAGGCCTAATTTATTTGGCTAGAATTTAGTTCAAAATGAATTCCATTGAAGAAGCAACAATAATCATTGCGTGTAGAAGTTTGATACCGGCCAAATAAAAAGACCGTTTTCTACAATCAAGCTTATGAAAATTTCATCAAATGATGTACAACGAAAGATATGTCCACAATAACGGAAGATGTATTATTGATATTTTTCATAGGAAAATCCAAGGCATGTCACATATTGTCTCCTGCTACATTAGGTGCTCATTTGACAGCCGTTAAAAATAATCAGGAGTTAGAATGTGCTCTAACCACATCATACCTATAGACCTTGGCCCATGCAAAACTTTGACAACGTATCAAATTCGCTAATCGAGTGCAAAAGTATCGGCCCTAGGTGTATTTTTTCGTTCCGAACAAACTGATTGCTTTCACTTAATCTGATTGCGTTCACTTGTGGGCTTCTTTCGTCTCCAGTCAGTTTCCCTACTCCACCTTTTAAACTGAATGAAGTGAACGGATGTTTGCTGCCCCCTTACCCCTCAAGCACAACCACGGATGGCCGATCACTTTGTTCATTTATAAAGAATTTACAACAAACGTCTTTTGTTACAACTGAACAAAACTAAAGTGAAACCAAAGTGATTGCTCTGTTCAGATTTATTTAACTCAGTTTCACTTGTTAATTTCGTTCAGAACGAAAGAATATTACTATCAGTGGCGTAACTTCAGATTTTGGACCTGGGGGCAGAGTGGTTTGGCGAGGCCCAATTATAATATTGCAGTGGTGTATGCAGTATTCTGTTTGAGGTCCAAATTATGGACCGACTGGTAACGTCATTAGCAAATTTATCCTGTTGGTAAAACTAAAAATTGAATTCATTTTTTAGTTTTACCTTTCCAGCAAGATAAATTTGCCAAAGAAGTTACCAGTCGGCAGTGGCGGATCTAACATGAAGCAAAGTCCGCACTCTGCGTCGGGCCTCAAGAGCTGACGGGGCCTCACACAACCGGATTCTCAAGGCATCAATAAAAAAATAAGCTCATGTATATTAAAAATATATCGAAAATTAAATTTTGAAAGTTACGACAACGTTGTATACCTCTAGGGCTTCCTTGGGACTCTAACATATAGACATCCGTTATCCCTATCGCTACGACACTTGATGTCTTCTCTCTTTTCGAAATCAATGGAGAGGGGGCGTGAATAGAGATAGAGAAAATATCTATTTGCTACAGAGTCCCAGCCATGCTTGACGCGATGCGGCAATCGCGGCCGCGCGAGACGCATATTTTACTTTTATGATTTTTTTTGTTTAGATAGAAAGTTCCTGAAGTTTTACAAATAATTATATTTTTCGTGTTCTCATATTCTATGTCTCATATATGTTCTCATTTAATGATCTTGTTTTCCAAGCAGGCACTAGCTGACGTCACACACATAACCTCACTTTCAATAGTGGGACAAACATGCAATGACCAAACATGTCATTGACGACTATTAACTACATATTTTAGGGAAGCCTTATTGATAAGTATTCCTAAAAATTACAGTTTTTCATGGAGAAGAAAGAAAGAAAAGAAATTTCATTTTGAGGAATACTTATTGTTAAGGCTTTCCTAAAGTAGTTGAAGGAAACGGCCGTGAGACAAACAAACGCTTTGTTTGTCCCCACATCGAAAGAGAGGTTATGTGTGTGACGTCAGCTAACGCCTTCAACACCACAAGAAAAATACCTAAACAAAGCATGACAGGGCCCCAAAAATTTTTTTGCTTCGGGCCTCAAAGGTTCTAGGTTCGCCACTGCCAGTCGGTTCATATTTTGGCTCCAAGGCCTGGTTTATCCATCCTCTGATTAACTTGCTGGTAACTATCTGCAAGATATAAATTGACCGTTATTTAATTCTGCATACCTGACAGTTTATCAGAAGGCGAATAAACCGGCCCTAACTTATGAGAACTAGGAAATAATTCTTTTGCGGAAACCGCCTTCCATCTTCGACTCTAACAGGCTAACACAACCGATCGCGATATTACTTTTTGCCAAATACCTACATTTTCCAAATAAATGTGGGAAGTAAATACCTAGATTGGTAGGTAAGTCAGCAAAATGTTTAATGATTTTCGTATTTTCTTGATTACAAATAGGTTTCGTAAGTCATTATTCTAAGAATCGTACGAACTATTGCGCATGAGCAAAATAACCGATAACGTATAACGTTGATCAAATAGGTGGCTCAAAATCTCTCTAATATATCAAAATTTGACCGTTTGCGTTATCGGTAAAACCTAAACATTTTATAGCAGAACCGTTTTTACATTCTCATCTTTAGTATTCCATGGGCAATCATTTTGACACCAACTTATTAAATTTAACTGCAGATTAAATTTAATCGGAATTTTTAATCATGTATTAAATTGAAAGTTGGTGTCCAATGATTTCTCATGAAAAACTGAAGATGAGAATGTTAAGACGGTTTTACACCAAACCGACTAGTTGACTTTTACTACTGTTTTAAAGAACAAAAACTCAACTGTTTTTAACGATAAAACTGTTCACACTAAACAGACGAAAATTAGTTGCTGTCGAGTTTTTGTTGCCGCGACTGTTGCAAGTTGCTTGAGTTGCCAAAAAATCTTTAAAAAATCTGCAAAAAGTTGCGGTTTTGTTTTTTTTCAACTCGAATTGCTGTTTTGTCGGTTTGGTGTAAATCCGCTTTTAAATTGGTTTTGCTATAAAATTAACAGTTTAGGTTTTACAGCCTGTCAGGTCAGAGTTGCAAAAAAGTCAATTTTCAACTGTCAATATTTCCAAAACAGTTGAAGATAGGTATAGAACAAGAACGTTATGATACATAAAATACCTAGGTTCAGATTCAGAATTTAATATAGAATTTGAAAATAAAATAAAAATTGATGTTTTCATTGAAAAAAATAAAGTTTGCTGTCCTAACTTGTTTTTCGGTTACCCTGTATACATGATATTACAAGCAAAAAAACAACCACCAAAGTCAAAAATCAACGTGTCCCAGGTTTTTAGGAAAATATCAGCCCTGTATATTTTCTGGATTCTATTATATTCGAAATTTCGTTCGTGGCGGTGCCCCCGCAGTCCCCTTCCTAGAGCGAAAACAGTGTACACACATTTTACATGCTCAAGATGGAATTCAGAGCTGCCGTAACGTACGACAGGTGTGTGCTTAGACCACACATCAGCAGACGTGGAAACTTCAAAAATCTATACGGAACGCGGTTGGTCATGTCAAACATGTCACCAAGGCAACCAGCGGCGATTCTGCGATTGGAAAAGCGTTCCGTATGAAACCGAAATATTCAACAACCACTTGTCAATCGTTGCGTTGTCAACCGACGTTGTACCGACCGGTTAACCAGGACGCGGATTCTGTGTTCAGTCGCTTTCTACATGTCGAATTCTAGTATCAATTTCTACATCTATATATATAAAAATGAATGCCACTTTTCGTTGTAATTTTATAACTCTAGAACGGGCTCACCTAGCCAAACCAAATGTTTAAGCTTTGTTCGGACTATTTATTAGATGGTTTATGTGAAGTTTGCACAAAATCGGTCGAGCGGTTCTTCATTTATCACATTTTTTGTAATAAATAAATTGAGGATCATT